TGTAATTAATACCACTGTAAAACTATATTGCAAATGTTTGATATGAAATTCGATTGTCAGGAGTACGAAATACACATCAATACTTTTACATAATATCCAGTGTATTATAATAAGATGTTATAACAAAGTCAATTGAAAATCTTCAGTTTCAGTAAAACTAGTTGTAAAACTCCCTAAATCTGTTAAAGGGAAGCCCCGGGGGAAGCCTTCATTCAAGCACTGACGTTTAAGTTTATGTTTAAGAGGAGGAATTCAGTATCCCGTGTGTTCACTACCCCCTCCCATCCCCAATTATTTAACTTCATGTATGCTCCAATGTGTTTCATTTCTGTGATTGATAAATGTAATCAATATGATAGCTCTATATTACTCAATTCTTAAGTCGCCAGGAGGCGTTAATTAAAAGTGCCTCTTCGAATCTCAGCCTGAAAAACAATTCCTAGCCGATCTCCTGTAATCAAGTTAAACATTCCCAGTTATGAAAACAATGAAATTGATATGACTGATTGATTGGACAAGTATTAGAAATTTGTCTCCAATTGTAATACATACATGTGTATCGTATTTTGAAATCCTGGGGATATGCATTAAGTGAAGCAAATCTGAAAAGTTTCATCTTAAACATAACCAAAATTAAGCACAGAGCTACATTTTGCACTTTGGAACTTTCAACGTGTATCTAGTTTTTTGAAGCTCCGGCCGCCGTACGACCCCCGTAGAGAAAATGTGCGCAAGGTTTAATTTTAATCTTACTGAATTATGTTAATTAGTTGCTTGGATGGTAGATTGATTGTTTGCTTGCTTATTTGCACGATTGATTGCTTGATTGACCGTTTACTTGCTTACATTCTTTCTTTGTTGCTTAGTTGCTTCCTTGGTTTCTTTGCTGGATTAGAGTTTGATTAGTTACTTGATTGGTTGGTTTGTCGGTTGTTTGCTTGCTTTATTTGTAAGTTGCATGTTTTTTTACTTGCTTAGTTTCCTGCTTGCTTTGATGGTCGTTTGCTTGCTTGGTTGCACGGTTGGTTGCTAGATTATTTATTTGAAACTTGTCTAAATATCCATAGGCTTAGCCAGGGGGGGGGGTTGAGAATAAGAATAAGACCCTGAGAAAGAGGAGAAAAAGAACTTTAAAGCTTTTTATTTGAAGCTTCTAGCTCAATTTGGAATGAAGTTGCATCTAATTTTGTAAAATTCAATATAAAAATCATTTTTTGGCTGGTTTATGTCACAATCGCACCCCCCGATTATGTCACAATCGCACCCCCCCCCCCGACTGAAACCCGAAATCTTTTTGGCGATCGCACCCCCCCCCCCTGAAAGTTGGCTAAATCGTTTCAAGTGAAATATTTAGAACTGAAATCGGGGTTCGCTTAGTTTGAGCATGGGCTTTCAACTAGAAGGGTATGCAACTCTATGTAATAACATGAGACCTTCAAAATGAGCAATGACATGCTTCCCTTTTATGGCAATATTTCAAAAAGTATTAGATAAATGTATATGTTTTAGTATTATTTTGAATAAAAATCAATTTTTTAATATGATTTAAGCATAGAATATATTCAATATCATATAAAAGTAAACAAAAGAGACCAATAAGAATAAGAGTTATCAAGATGTTCTCTTGAGTATTGCATTGTGGGTAATTATTCAAGAACACATTCCAATAAAAACATAATTTGTGGGAGAATGTTCACTTTCTGTATTGTCATAATTATGATGAATTCCAATTTTTATTAAATTATCAAGATGTATGGAGAAGATCATGTTTTTATTTTTGAGTTATTTCTTTTAATCATCAATAAAAAGTACAAAATAAGATTTTCTTGGAATGTGTACATTCTCCAATTTTGAAAACCCATGGCAATGTTTATGTATGAAATATGGGAAGTTGCCTACCCTTCTAGTTGAAAGCCCATGGTTTGAGTCAGGGAACAATCACACAGACGGATTAATTAATATTTGTTTTGATACATGAGTATTATAGGTTATAGGCAGTATCATGAGAACCAAGTAAACGTGTATAGGATTATTTTATGTTTATTCGGAATTGAGTGAACCATCTGTAGTTTTAATCAAGATCAAATATTAGAAATCTATTTTTGACTCGATAAATTTTTGTTCGAATGTCAAACAGAACCTTCACGTTCTTTATTCATTTGGAACTTTGGTTTGAATTGTTTCAATCAAATGTGTGTTGATACCCCGGGCCAATGCCATTAATTGACAAAATGTTGCAATACATCGCACGCTCGGTCTTAACTGTGTTCATCGACGGGAGCCGAGTGAACGAAGATGGTTGTAATAGGGGGGGGGGGCATTATTGTCTTTATTACAAATTACTTTTATACATTATAACATACATAGTAAACGGGACCCGATCGGGGAAGGGGTTGGGGTTGTGCACAATTTGCTATCTCTTAATACATGTTTTATTGCCAAATTAATATGAAAACAAGCTGGAGTAACATAAATATTTATTTAGTATTTTGTTACCACACATCAAAAGGCGCATTTGAAGTTCAGAAAATGCAAGAAGACTTGGCTAGACATTATGTACTTATATATTTATATGTTACGTATTTATTTTGTATTCAATTCGAATTCTCGCACTCCTTGAACCACCCCCACCCCTTGGCTACGGGTATAAGTACATTCGGCACACGGAGAGAATAATATTAGACTTCTGCAATGCAACTAATAAGAGAGACCTAAAATGAAAATAATGTAACAAGTGCTCTACTTTGGTGATAAAAATAACTGTTCCTGTAAAAATATACAATTGTAGTCCATCACAAAGTTCATTTATTTCATGAAAGCGTCAATGGACAATGCATCTAAACACTAAGATAAACAATTAATTAACTTCTGAAGAAACATCCTGTAGTGGAAAAAACAAATGGCCTTTCATAACGGATTAGAATAGCCAGTCTGTCTGATTGTATAATATATAAGATACATTTTAAATTCCTTGGGAAATGAAAAAATAGTTTTTTTCTGGCTGTTTAATGAAAACATAAAAATAAAAAGATGAAAAATTCCCATTCATTAACATCTACATACCCCTAGTGGTATGGGCCGTGTGATTGCTACAAATGGACAGGCATAATAGATGATGTGTTTGAAAGGTGGCGCATGGCTTTGCCTCGATGTATTGGTTAATAAATGATATTATAAACTTAATTGATCGTGAATTCACCTTTCCAATTTCAAATTCCAAATAAATAAAGCACACAATTCAAGCGTGACACAAAAAGAGCAAAACTGAAAACCCTTTAACCTATAGTGCCCGACATTATGTTAATAAATAATTTCTACATGTTGAAATATATTGCTATTTGATTGAGTTCAAGACAAAACTTTTTGGAATTGTTTCACATAATGTAATATTCCTCGGATTTGGTGCATACAGATGTTTTACAATCAGAGACAAGGGTCTTATACGGGGTATTATATTTGGCAAACCAATCAATAAGTAGTATTAAATTATCACAAGGTAAATAACTTAATCCCTTTTAAAATTGCGGTTAAGTAGCATCTTAATTACAGTAAAGAAAGATCATCTAGGAATTATATCTGCCTCTCATTCCTTAAACCGGCTTCGTTAAACAGTGTCAAGATATTTAAGTCAGAGCCAAAAACAAGACTATTTTTATATTTAAATCCCCTCACCTTGTCAATGTTTATGTCTGCATCTGGTTTTTCCTACCTTTTGAAGGGAGACAATATACACATAGATTAATTACTGGCCATGGACAGGGGGCACAGAAACGAACATTCTGGGGTCATTAGGGATAATTGGGGAAGGGGGATGGGTGGTGTTGAATAGAAAAGTCCGGGAGTGAAGTTAAGGGGTCCTGAAATCTTCCTTTTGATATTTAGTGCTTGAATGAAGACTTGTTTTCACTCCACGCACTCTAGTAGAATTTAAATATTTGATCCAAAGGAGTTATTTTTAATCAAAAATCAAAAATGATTAAATGCTTGCTGCATGCAAACATACTACACTTAAATTGAAATGCTTTACTTAGTTAATTAACGCAGTAGTCACATGACACACGGATAAGACGTACCTGGGCCGAGGATAAGCAATATTTATCTCTCAATAGGTATGATAAGTGTGAACTTTTTATTCCTGAGAATTAGTAGTTAGTAGTGCTTATTACTTATGGATAAGACATTAAGTATTCTTTCTTAGTAGTGCTTAGAAAATAGTGTTTCACGTTGTGCAATGTCTCCATATTATGTGTCATATATCATTTTAAAGCTCATCCAAAGTTACATTAATTTGCCAAGTATCATGGTTCAACTCACAAATGGGAAAAAGTTACAGGCATTTCAAAATTTGATATTCAAATACAGCATTCACCTAAGACACTTTGGCAAAAAGTTAATAAATATGTTTGATTAAATGTTGATTGTGAAAAAAGTATGGATTAAACGTTGTTAACCCCCACTTAGGTAGCAACACAATAGAATGAAAAGTAGTTTAACAGTACAGTTGTAACAAAAGAAGAGTACATTCTTTTTCTGTTGTTTTGAAAGAATGGACACTTAGCAAACCAGTGTGGCACAAACGACGATTGGCAGTTTTTGATTGTTTCCATCATTTAAAAACAATATACAAACGTATATGTATTCGTCTTTTGTTACTGTGCATTCTTTAAAGTGAAACAATTTATTGTTTTGTGGACTATTTACCTTTCATAAGAGTCGTTGTGAAGTTTAAGTAAGATAAACCATTCGTACTTGCTCTTAGGAGAAATAACCAAATTGCTAGTACTCATAGTTTATCCATTACTAAAGCTTTGTGAAATAAGTAAGAAATGAACTGATGAAGGCATACCATTAAACTCAGGAGGAAATTATACATAATCCAAAACCAAGAATTCATTGTCTTTATGAAGCCTCGCACAAAGACGTCGTAAGATTGGCCTAGTTGGACAACCTAAAGTTGATTCTGATTTACAATTATATTATTTCAGAGTGTGTTGTTGAAAATGTTGATGGCGTGTGCTCTACTAAAAGCTGTCTTCCCCTGGCAAAACAGCAACGTTGTGGACATGAGCAAGAACAACATCACTATAGTAAGAGATGGCGTGTTCATTAACCACACACATTTGGAATATTTGGATCTGAGCTACAACAAAATATCTGAGATCTCATCCGAGGCATTTTCAGGTCTGAAATCATTAAATATACTCAACTTGGAAGAAAACAATCTTAAAATCTTAAAAACAGGAATTTTAAGTGACCTGATATCCCTTTGGGTCATTCATCTGCAGGGAAACGAAATATCAGAGATAGAAACTGGCGCATTTACAGGTTTGCTTTCATTGCATACCCTTTCCCTTCAAAGAAACAAACTTTCAGTATTGAAAAATGGAATATTCAAGAACCTTGCATTCTTAAAAATTCTCAACCTTTACGACAATGGCATTTTAGAGATTGAACCTGAGGCTCTATTTGGTTTGCAAGCATTAGAAATACTTCAACTGCAGAAAAACAAACTCAAAACTTTGACAAATATGATATTCAGTAACCTCAAATCCTTGAAAGAACTTATTCTTGATAACAATGAAATTTCAGTTATAGAATCAGATGCATTTTCCGACTTGCAATCATTAAATATAATATTGTTATTTGCAAATAATCTCACAAAGGTTTCAGATGGCATATTCAGTAATTCATCTTCCCTCAAGAGGATCGATCTCACAGATAATAAAATATTCATGATAGAACCAGGGTCATTTTCTAATTTGAAACAGTGTGATTTCTTAGATTTATTCCACAATAAACTCACAAAACTTTATTCTGCTATGTTCAGTGGCATGTCCTCATTACAAGAGTTATCTTTAACTGTTAATGAGATAACAGATGTTGAATCTGGCGCATTTATGGGACTTGAAAATCTTGAATACCTCTTCCTAGATAAAAATAACTTGAGTAAAATACCAACTGATGTTTGCGAACATTTACCAAAATTAAATTATTTAACAATTAGAAGTAACATCATGATGGATGGCCCTTCTGAATACGAAAGTAGGAATGAACTTAGGGCACTGTGTTTAACCATGGAACCTCCACATGTCGAAACTGGAACGTCATTTGACAATGCTACAGTTTCATCATCTCAAACGAGACAACCATTGATTTGTATGTTATGTGGATATTCAGTTTTTATACTGTTAACTATTACTTGAGTGTCTCTGGCATAGGTTTTGGGCCGATATAAGATGGCAGCAGCAGTATAATTATTTTAACTTCTCTTTAAAGAGAAGTATAAATAGACATGGGTTGATAGACTCGTACCCCAATACCCATGGAACAACATGCAGCAAAATAATACACACGATACCCATTGGACATTCAAGTAACAAAATAATACACATGATACCACGAAAGGACATTTGCACGATCGTTTGATTCATGTTGAGCAAGAAAGGTATGCCACTTGCAGATATATTAAATAAACTAATTAGTATTAATTTATAGAAGACATGTCTTTTACTTTTTAATTTTATGTGTGAGAAATCAAAATAAAAAAATAGTGTGAAAATGGGAACATGATGTGTGTAGTATTAAGGAAAAAATGATCTGTCTTAGTTATTTGTTACGTCTTTATAATAAAATGGATATACTCCAGGCCTGTAGCCAGGGGGGGGGGCTCTGGGGGCCCCTGATATCTCCTATTTTTGGGGGGGGAGGGGGTGCGGGGAGGGGGTTCGAGCAGCCCCCCCCCCCCTCTTACAAAAAGCTGGCTACGGGCATTGTATTGCCCCTATTCCTCCTGTTTGAGTATACAGTATTAAGGAAAGGAGACGTTACTAGGTCATTGTGTCACTATATTGATGAGAAAGGGAGAGGGGGGATGGTGAACCAAATAGTCATTGTATTTGAAACTGATTTTATGTGGACCTACCTTTTTGCTTCCTTGAAGAAAAACTTGCTCTACCCCACATTCACTGGGAAATTAAGATTAAACTGGCATTACTGTGCATTGCTTTTCGAATTTGAGCATTACTTTTCAAAATTTGGCCTAATTTTTTCGGGGACCCTTTCCTTCTGTGCCCTTTTCCCTCTGTTTTTTTTTTTTAGGATCGTCCCTTGTGTTTTGTTAAACATAGCCTTCTGGCAGTTCCATGGGGGCATGGGGCCACCCCCCCCCCCCCCGGTTGGGCCCGGAAAAACTGTAGGCCCAAAAATATTGTAGGGCCTCTTTAATGGGCCATTTTAGGCACAACTTGACCTTTTTGGGCCTTATTTTTTCAATTTTAGGCCAAATTTTCAAAAACGGACTATAAATTTTGAAAATTTTGGCCCGAATTTTGGTTTTAGGGCTCTAAAAAATTTTACGCGCGGCCCTAGGATGGGCCCAGAAAACATGTTGGGCCAAAAATATTGTAGGGCCCCTTTAGTTGGCCTTTACTTGACCTTTTTACTTGACCTTTTTTGGGCCTTTTTTTCAAATTCAGGCTAAATTTTCAAAAACGGGCCATTAATTTTCAAAATTTAGGCCCAAATTTTGGATTAGGGCCCTTAAAGATTTTCCGCGAGGCCATAGGATGGGCCCAGAAAAAAATGTTGGCCAAGAAATATTGTAGGGCCTCTTCAGTGGGCCTCTTTGGGCATTAATTGACCTTTTTGTACTTTATTTTTTTCTATTGTTTGTTTGATATCATTTTATGGAAAGAGTAAAAGCTTATGCCATGTGGTCTAACACGTTTTTCTGATGGTAACGAACATTTTTTTTAAAACGAACTCATGGCACTGGCTTGTTTCTACTAGCAAATGTGAAAAATGCAGACACACCTCGGGCTTGACGCATGTCCTCTATTGAAAACATAAACAATCTTTCAAAATTACATTTTCGTTCATTTCTTATCTCAGTTCCAGACTCATATAATTGGAATGAATGAACCAAGTAACGATGATTTTTCTGAATTTTCTGAAACTGGCGACACCCCTTTGGAAGGCTGTACAAAATAATATATCGTTCAAGATGGGCTTTGTTTATCATTTTCTCTTAGAATCATGCGGCTGCACAAACACAACACAAACAATAGACCAGTTGGGAGGTGTCTAGTTTCGATTGTAGCATTCAATTGGTTCCTATCCCGATTCCCGAATGCTGTGGGGAGGGGTTGTTTGACTCTGTTTCTTTGTGCATTCGATCATAACTTTGTTTTTTCTTTACAAAATCAGAATAGAGTTCATAGTTTAGATGCTTCATTGTCTTGCTTTGTTGTTTCCCTTTCAGCATATTAAGGTACACTCCCTTCCGTAAGTTTGGCAAACGAACGTTTTTTCATTTGATAGCATTTTGCAATGTTTGAACCTTGACTTTGTTCCTTATAACGATAATTGGTGAATATATGACAAATTTGATAAATCTTTTAAAAGTGTCACACATAAACAGCCGTTGATAAGTGATCCGAAATTTCCGTTTGCGAAACTTATTGAGGAGAGTGTATGAGCTTCATACCTTGGAATTCCAAAATAATTTGTTCATTCGCTTTTAACAATATGCAATTATTATCGGTATCATAATGTCAAAAGTTAAAACAATAGGGTCATATTTTAATAAAAGTTTTCTTTAAATAATCTAAATTGTACTTTATAGTTAGTATAATGTTTATAAACAATAGTTCGATGGCAATTACGAAGCAATATAACTTTAGGTTCGCCTGTTTCAAGTGTCATCTTTACCCTTATGTACCAACCCCATTGAACACGTAGAAATATTTGAGTTTCTTAAAGGTTCTGTGTAATGTTTGACTTCATATTTTACACGGCATTTTTCATATGTATTCGTCATAGGTGAGAATAATATTTCCCATGGCCATATTTTTGATGAGATAATTGGAAGGGCTTCACAAATTACGGAAGTATATCAGCTAATATACAAACACTAACTTATCTAGGATTGAAAAGCAATAGTCTAGCTTCAATTACCTAATGAAGTTGTGTCAATGATCCATGTGTCGCAAATGGCGCCTTTGGGTATTCAACTTTTACTAAAGAGAAATATGAATAATAATGAATGCATCAGTTTACAAATGAACGATTTACAATGTAATGTGATAAAAATAATACATAAGTATCCAATAATGATTTAATTTCGGCAACTAATCTTGTTTGCGCACGACCTTTTCTGAAAATAAGACGAAGACAAGCGGGTGCAATACTATAATAGAATATTACACGGGACCTTTAACAAGAAAGTCTTGACCAGAACAGAACAAAACTCAAGGCAATATCAATTTAATTGTCTATTGTTACAAGAAGTGGTTGTATCGTTGTACTACTAATAACTTATAAAAATCAGACTTTAATGGAGTTTAGTTTTGGTACAATCCTTGAAATAGATTAGCTTTGAAAAGACATGGAACAATAAATTGGAAATACGTATAAATAAGACGTTCGGCATTGTCAACGGAATAATCAAACTTCAAAAAATGGCCACTGGGATATTTCGATTGGCGCTGATAATAATCGCTGTTCTGCAAGTGGTGAACGCAGATGATGGTAAAAGACTTTGCACTATCAGTGAAACGTATATCTGCGAATGTGAACCCGCTGCAGGTAATGGAAATATGACATGGATCGTAAACTGTGCCGATCAGAAGATCGAAGGAGCGGTCAAACCGATTAATCCGTACCCGTTCGATGTGTCAATCTTGAAGCTGGACAATAACAATCTGAAAACAGTTCCAGCTAATACATTCGATGGTTTGCCGATGCTATGGTCATTGAGACTCAATGAAAATCAAATTGAAACGATAGCGGATGATGCATTCGTCGGGCTTGAAGATCTTTTGCGCTACCTCAATATCGGGCACAACAAACTTACAGAATTCCCCCGGGCGATTTCTAAACTGTACGGCCTGACGCATCTTCATCTTCGTGATAATAAGATAACATTCATACCCGATGGTGCTCTGGACAAACTAATTCACCTAGAAAAAGTTTATTTCAGCGATAATCTGCTCACATCATTGATTATCCCTAGCACTCTGACAGAGTTAAATTTTTTCGACGCAACCGATAACTTGATTGAAGATGTTACCATTGACTCTGGTCTACAAAAACTAACCAACGTTCAAATGGCGCATAATAAACTAACCGTGAAAATCTTTTTCACCAGAACCTTCACAAATATTCTGAAAAATATGGAGACCTTGAATCTGAACTATAACAATTGGTACTGCGTGTGTAACTCGTTTCTAGATTGGCTTATGATGAGGGGATTTCACGAGGCGTGCTTGCTTCCGACTATTGTCCGGGGACAGTCTGTTGCGCAGTATCACTCGGAAAACTGCCCTCCTTTACCGACCACTACAAGAGATCCCTATGATGACATCAAATTCGATACAACGCCCTATAATTGGCAACCGGACTCTTCAAGAACAAAACAACCTATCTATCGTACAACAAACGATCATTTTAAACCCGAACCGAGCAAATCAAGTCGCACCACAGTCTGGAATTGGGAACATAAGCCAACAGAAAAAGATCAGCCGAATCATCGCACTACGACAGTCGATCGTTGGGAACCCATCCCAACAAAGACGGAACAAGCAGATCATAGCGAAAAGCCGTCTTCTCACCCTAAACTCGAATTAGATGCCTACAATGATGACGGGAAACTGTTACTCACGTGGACAGTGGTGCCCGTGACACCACACACGAAACTGTTCGTCCTACAGATCCAAAACCACACAAATGTCGTAAAAACAGAAATTTTAGAACAATACTCCGTAGAATACGTTATATCTGACTTGGATTTAAATATGAATGGTGATTATGAAGTTTGCGTTCTGCTCATGGACCAGTCTCTGCCACTTTTAGGGTGCAAGAAGGTCAAGGTCCCAGATCTACCGGATTACAGCGCCCTTCATAATGGCGAGTCGGGCTCTGTGAATAGCACTGTTGTTGTATTGGTAATTGTGGTGGCTGCTCTTATGCTGCTCATGGTATTGGGCGCCGTGTTCATTATGTGGAAGGGCCATCGGAACAAGCTCGACGTTGACCGCCAAAAAGTACTTGGTGAGGACGCCGTCTACCAGGCAGATGGTGCTGAGGCGGATACGGAGACCAATCCGATATATGAGACTAGTGACGGCATGTATGGGTCTGCTGACCCCAAGTAACTTATGGATGATTAGATAGCCTTGTGCAAAATCAATTTAGTGAAACATTTTGGCACTGAATGCTTTCCGTGTCACCCTAGTCAATAGTTACAGGAACGTGTACTTAAGGAACAAGGACAAGACAAAACGTTAAATGTTTTACCTTAAAGTTGATATAAATCAGACAAATTAACCTGATTTTATATTTTACTTTGATTTTACATTCGCTTAAACACGGTGTATAACCCAAACGCTCCTACATGCACGACGGAGCGTTTCATTTACGCGGAAACCTCCGGAGCGAAATAAAATGGCGGCTAATGAAGATTCCACTATGACCGTAAGTATTGTTTCTCTCGTTTCTCTTACATATCATATGTTATGGTGAAATATTATGTACCATTCGATGAACAATACCGTTGGCAAAGATCTTATTTATTCAACTTCTGGTGGTAAACTTTTATTTGCTTGATCAAAGCTCCGTAGTGCAGATCGAACGAATCTGAAGATGACGATTTGACCACAAATTACGAATTAAACAAGTATTTCTATGAAAACGTTAATCTTTCTGTTCAAGTAGTAGATCACAAACTCGTATATTATCATTTTCTAAAATCCCAGTCCAAATCCATTACTTGTTCTCGAGAAATCGCTTGTTTTCCTCGAAACGCTCCGTCGATTTAGAACACAATTTTAGAAACGCTCTTACCATTTTGTTTTGATATCAGTTTCAGATTATTAGAGAAGAGTTTCGAATCGAATCTATCTCTCAAAAACGTGTTGTACTTGTCAGGCAAATTGAAACATCTGAACCTGGTGGTGCTAAACGTGCAACAAGCTGATCTAAGCCTACATTATATGATGTCATGCCTACATGTGTGCTAAATCATAAAACTATAGAAAAAACGAAACTTTATATGTGAATTAATCTTTCTTCTTTTGATACCAAGGGGTATAATAGATCTTTTCTTTCTCTTCCTGAAAAGGAAAGGCAAGCTATATATTTCCTAAACTGATCTACACTACCGGAGCGTTTCCAGTTCACTGTGTTAACCAGATCGGAGCGTTTCTTGAATATGAGAAAGTCATCATTTTTAAGACTGGATTTTCGGTCATCAAATCACTATTACGATAATGTATGGTGCGTTGAAGCATTGGAATTTGACTAAACTATACGTTGGTGCTCTAATCTTGGCTCAACTAATCACATGTATCCATAAAAGGGGTTTTGACCGGTAGAATGACAAATACGTTTTTGAATTTTCATAACTATGCTGCTTCGTACAGCTCTTCCTAATTGCTTCAAACGTCAACAGCCAGCCAAGTACAACATGAATATCACACCCATCGAATGGTATACTCGAAATATGTAACTCATACCTCTTATTCCCATTATTGGGGAAATCGTCAGACGGCTCATCATTCCCGCCAGCCAGTTTTCCTACTCCGGAGCGTTTCTTTGTTTAATTTCAGTAATGAAACACTGCGTCGTGCATGTCGGAGCGTTTGGGTTATACACCGTGTTAAAGTCACATAACTTATACTTCGAGCCTATGGTCATTTTTTCACAAAAAGCCGTGATTGGTCTTTGATTTTGTCCACATGTGTCTATTTGATACCTTATGCCTCGGTCACATTTGCTCCGATCAATCGGCCGGCGCCCGGCCGATTGAGTGTTTTGTTCAATACTGTATTCAATTTTGAACAAAATACTCAGTCGGCCGGGCGCCGTAGTGAAAATCGGTGCAAATGTGACCAAGGCATTATAGAAATGGATTTATCAAAAAGGTTGTGCTATTCATTTTAAGCGACGCAGTATGCATTACACTTCTCTGGAAAACTGTGAGATAGAAAAATGTAACAAATAGTCTGTAGTTTGTAGACGTAGACCCCAAAGGCCGACGTCGGTTGCAAAAACAATGGATAATAATGTCATTTTTGGCGAGGATATCAAATCCACTGTTCTCACAAAAAATGATTAACATCTTAAAGTACATATTAAAGTATTTAATAAAACAGAAATAAAGGTCAGTGGGACAAACGTGCTAGTATGATCTGATGTCAAACTTCTCTCAAATCTTCAATTTATTTTGACAACTATTCTCTTTGATTTACATTCGTTTTATGTCTTAACTTTTCTTCGGGTAAACAATAGGGTGGTCCAAAATATGGCGAAAAACCAACTTTCTTTCGGATCATCTTCCTCATTTGACTTACTGTTGTCCATGACCTAAAACACCTGCACACCAAATTTTGAGACCCAAATCCCATGGGAAATTTACCCACGCATCGACTGAAAAATTCGGTTATTTCATGATTTTTTGCTATTTTCGATAAATTGCCATCTCCTTTTTCCTGGTATAAAATGTTTCTATATTTTCATAATAAACATTGTTGTAGGACTCTTTATTACTTAATAATACTAGGAGCCCAAACACCAAATTTTGAGACCCAAATCCCATGTGAAATTTACCCATGCTTTGACTGAAAAATTGTGATTTTCACAGTTTTGTCCGATTTTCAATAGATTACTGTCTCCATTTTCCTGGTATAATATGTTTCTATTTTTTCATAATAAATATTTTTGGATGACTCTTTATTACTTCATAATACTAGGAACCCATACACCAAATTTTGAGACCCAAATCCCATGGAAAATTTACCCATGGTTTGACTGAAAAATTGTGATTTTCACATTTTTTCCGATTTTCAATAAATTGCTGTCTCCATTTTCCTGGTACGATATGTTTTTATAATTTTTGAGGACTCTTTATTACTTCATAATACTAAAAACCCATACACCAAATATCCACCAAATTTTGAGACCCAAATCCAATGAGAACGTTACTCATGCTTTGACTGAAAACTGGTGCTTATGATAGCTTATGGTGTCTGTTTTAGGGGCATAATATGTTAATAAACATTATGGTAATTCCTTCTTAATCCAAAGAAACACCTAAATATCAAGACTTTAAGTCTTATTGCAAGGCGACAAATTCAGTAGTTTGGAGAAAATTTATGATCTTTTACTTGTACATTTATATACTGTGGTTAATATTAAGAAGTGATGACTCGACAGCAACTTAAATGCCTTGAAGATTTGGTTTGTTGGTTTCAGTAGGGATACATCACAGGACTTTGTTTGGATTTGTGTGAGATGTTATATTCTTTCTCACATCTTTGCAGGGTAAGGTCAAATATCAAATCTGATTTTCTTTGGAGAAATGATTTTTGATTGATCAATGTATCAATGGCATGGTCTCTGTTGTAACCAGTAAGCCTGTACCAAATCTTCAAGGGATTCGAGCTTCCACTGAGCTTTGTCATTTCTCTGAAAATGTTCATGCCCTGAAAGTACACAATGTAGAAGATAGGAAGAGCAATGAGAAACACTTAAGGTAATTCTGTATGTTCAGAAATTTTAAGTGGAGTCCAATGTTATTTCTGGAACTCGTTCCATACTTGGTCAGCTCTTTCAATTTTACACTGAGTTCAAATATGTATTTAGATTATTAGTTGATGGTTAGTAATTTTCTATAATGTACTATGTGCTATGTTTATACACTGTTTGTGCATCTGAATGGAATGAGTAACACGGGGCTCCAATTAGGAAGCCATTAAAACTGAAAATAAGGAATTACCTTAAAGTACTATATAACCATCTTTCACGATGTAACGTATGTAAGGCCAAACAGGATAATTAAGACAACGTGTAATACAATTTATTACAAATTGCACATCACACAACAATGATATGGTGCTCTAAACGACAAAAATCAAAAGTATATGATCAAAGCAAACGTGAATTTCCCATGGGGTTCAGGTCTAAACATTTGGTACATATTAAATGTATGGGTTCCTAGTATTAAGAACGTATTAATGTCCTCCTAAAATGTTTAAAAACTAAATATAAGATTAATGTTAATCTATTGAAAATAGGAGAAAATTCGCAGAAAATCACAAATTTTTGATTGAAGCATGAATTAATTTCTCATGGGGCCAGGGTCTCAAAATTTGGTGCATATTTGGGGTATGGGTTCCTCGTATTATGAAGTAATAAAGAGTCCTCCCAAAATATTTATTATAAAAAATAGAAACATATAATACCAGGAAAATAGAGATGTATTGTATTGTATATGAAATAACCCAATTTTTCAGTCGAAGCGTGGGTAAATTTCCCATGGGATTTGGGTCTCAAAATTTGATGTATGGGTTCCTAAGTATTATAAAGTAATAAAGAGTCATCCAAAAATATTTATTATGAAAAGACATCTACCATTTTATACCAGGAAAATGGAGATGGCAATTTATCGAAAATAGCAAAAAATCATGAAATAACCGAATTTTTCAGTCGAAGCGTGGGTAAATTTCCCATGGGATTTGGGTCTCAACATTTCATATATGGGTTCCTAGTATTATGAAGTAATAAAGAGTCCTACAAAAATGTTTATTATGAAAAAATAGAAACATATTATACCAGGAAAAGGGAGATGACAATTTATCGAAAATAGCAAAAAATCATGAAATAACCGAATTTTCAGTCGAAGCGTGGGTAAATTTCCCATGTGATTTGGGTCTTAAAATTTGGTGTGCAGGTGTTTTAGGTCATGGACAACAGTAAGTCAAATGAGGAAGATGATCTGAAACAAAGTTGGTTTTTCGCCATATTTTGGACCACCCTAGTAAACAATTGATCTAATTCTGAAATAATCACACTCATTTCGACAATAATAATAACTGATTTATTATGCATTGAATTGAATATATTGTCCACTTCAAATGTTTGATATGAATTTAAAACACATTTAATTTTCACTATTGAAATAACTAAGCAATCGACCCACTTGACAATGCGGACCTAGTCGAAAGGATAGGTATCGATATGGTGAACTGAATTCAACAATGTTTTTCTTTTTCTTTTAATCCAATTATTGAAATTATTCTGTAAAAAACACGGTCCTTTATGTAATGTTGACTGATTGACAACAATTTAATGCGAAAATTATTTAGAAATATTTTATATAACTGTTTTTGTTAACATCTTTTGTTTTTAGTGCCATTTTTTTGGTCCTTTCTACCAATTCTTGAGAATGAAATAAAATGTCTTTCCGGACCTTGTTGGAACAAAATAGCATATACAACATGTTTTTAGACCTCTCAACATTATAGTTATACAAAGGAACTTTTGGTTGATTTTTTAAAAAGAATTCAAAAATTAAAACAACCCCCCCCCCAAACAAAAAATAGAAATCAAGATAAACATTTATTTCATTAACAAGATACTTTTTTAAAATCAACAAAAATCTTTTTTGTACAATTACAATATTGGGAGACCTAAACATGTTGTGTTTATGGCTTTTTGTTCCAGTGAGGTTCCGAAAGATGTTTCATTTCATTCTGAACATATGATACCAAGAACAAAAGAAGTGTTTGATGTGTTTTCTAAAACAATATAGAGAAAACAATTTTTTTTTCAAATGATATTGTTACCATTCAAAAGATGACTATTAAATTGACGATGTGTAAAATCTTTAGAATTTTTTTATGACTGGTTTAAGAGAAACGTGTGTTCAAAAATTTCACCATATCGATACCACTCCTTTAGCGAATTGCGAAACTTGGATATGACTCAAAACGTCCTTGTATTTCTTCACTTGGGAATAAGGTCAATTAGGCCTACAATCATATTTCAATTGTTTGAAATATGATAGATTCTTAATTAAAACCAAAAAGCCATGGTGCTATATTTTAGATATTAACTTTTATTCGAAGGCTTCCAATAAAATATCATTTTTGATGGCATCTACGTGAGGATATGGTCAAGTCTCAAGGCACGCATTAGAAATAAGAACGTTTACTGCTTTTTGTGAGTCTGGGTGGACATTTTCAAACCAATATAACTCTGTCTATTTAGGCCTATGTAGGAAAAGTCTCATACAGCATACGTTAATAACGAAATTGCTTTTCTTCATCCTTGGTCAAGTTCATTGAAATGTACAGAAATCGACGTGCCTTAGTGCCCCGGGCTGAGTACCCACCTTGGTAAAGGGAACGCCGGGGGGCAACGCCAGCCGTTTCAGATCTCAAATCAATCTCAAAACCATGTGTGTAGCAGATTCATTCAATTCTGAAAGATGGCTGGTGATCCCAGATTTCGAATTTTTTGTAATAAGTGAATGTATCAACAGCAGAGGCCCATCGAGATGACGATCCTCCAAAGAACGTGGAAAAATAGATGGCGTTTGCCATGACGCTGGTTGTACCACGGTAGTTGATATCCGTCATAGAGAGAACAAGTCGTCCGTCAACCCATACCCTGGCAATACCGTCCCTACGTCCAGGAGCGTTCATTCTGAAGTAGAGAAATAACATCATCATTCTGTACACCCAGAAAAAATCTCTTTAAGCTTACTGTAGTGTAAATGTGTATCAATCAACTAATAACCGGGATAATTAAACAAAGAAAATAGTTCTGTGTGAGAATTTAATTGGTAATTTGGCTTTGTTCATCTTAATTATCGAAACCCATTTGCCCAATCAAAATCTTCTCCAAATGTTAGCAGCCAACATTCACTGATTTTCAGACATTTAAAGCAGGTATGTGAAATAAGTAGTTCATACATAAGACAGACATAAGATGGCATTGTGGTGTTGTTAAAAAAAGTGGACTACACACTGCCATCTTTTTATGAACATTCTTTCAATTACTCCAGGCCCGAATCCCCTTGCCAAAATTTCTTCCAAAATCACGATGTAGTGTTTCACCATTTAGAACGTTTCTAAGTGATCTTTGGGCCAAATTTGGAAAATGCGAAGCCCATGATGTAGACTATAATGACCTTATGTATTGCTGAATTTTTATCCATTTGCCCTTTGTAAAGTGGAAGGAACGACGTCCTAGAGAATGACCGTAATCAAAGTTACAATGCACTTCAGGACGACTGCAAAAGTCACTTGCTTGTGTCATAGGACTGTACAGGTAGATTTCCCCAGCGCCATTCCTCCTCCACATGAATCTTAAAGCACACACAATTTAATATTAAGAATCAGAGATAGATGTGACCTTTAAATATCAATAATTGAATCTCTTTCCAAAAAACAATCGTAAAGTAATGGTGTGTTGGAAGTAAAATAATGGTGTGTTAGAAGTAAAGTAATGGTGTGTTGGAAGTAAAGTAATCGTGTGATACCTGTACAAGTTGTCTCGTTTGTAAAATAAGATGCCTTAAAAAAGAATATGATGGAAAATTGTGTGACTCTTATGATATTATGTATATTGTATATGTTAATGTAACTGCTTTCAAATGTTTTCTATGAATAAAAAGAGGAATTAAAAAAAGAAAAAAAGATTTAGAGCCTGGTGAATGCTCTGACGGGGGCTCTGAGGAGAAAATAAAGTTTTGATGCTAACTAGATAATAGTAATGACATATAAGTAAGCAGCCTTATTGATATTGGGTGTTTCGATGTTAAAAGATGAATGAATTTAGGATCGCATAAAATTCAGTGAATGCTGTTTGACTGATGGCTGGATTGCGATTCACCTAATCTGATTGGATAAGACTTGATCAAAGGATCTTTAATTCGCTTTTTGAGAAAATAGAACTTTTTGAAAATGTTTCATCATTGCGCTGTAAAAATGGTTATACAGACATAATATATGAGTGTTTTCTCAACTTACCTTGTAGAATAACACATTGAAGATCTTCCGCCACTACATGTACCCCTTCCGCCATATAATCCCGGCAACTTGCCACCAAGCACAAAATGGAAGTTTGGGGCAAAATATATCTGGGAATAAAGAAAGGATAAGAATGATTAAAAGATGCCTATTCATTTATCACTTAATAACATTACTCTTTCCATTCGTTCGTCTTCGCTTCTTAAAATTAGACTCTGTACGCAGGGGTATGATAAAATAATTCAATTGAGAAATAATTCACTTAAAATGAGTCTTCGCAGTTGAGTACGTCAAACAAATGGAATAGATAGAAGGGCATAAAAAGATAATTAAGGTAGAAATTAAATTAAAACGAACATATCGGACACAATTACATACCTCATAGGTTAATGTACAAGAATTCTGTGGGGGAAACGGTCGTGCTAGAAATCGCACACCCCCGATGTTGTTCTTTTTCCCTGAGACTGAATTTTTCTTGTAGGCAATCCTCAGTACATTTCCCGGTGCACCTGTGGGGTCAGGAACTACTTTCATATTGTGTCTGCGATGTATCACGTTCGTAACGTTCCACCCTGGCAACGGGTAACCAGTTGTAGGAAACGGGCGTTGTTGCCATAGTATCTTGCTTTCAACTGAACATAAATCCAAATGTTTATCTATTCTTATTTTTGTGATAAACACCGTAAAAACTTTATAGATGTGATAAACTACAGTATATTCATTTTACAGAAGCCTTCAAAGGTTTTAGATATATAGATTTTTGCCGAATTCTTGGTAAATTATCTAACAAATATCATTATCGGACTCCGGTTTTTATATCGAAATCAAAACATAAATTAAATGCCCCCCCCCCCACCATGAATACTTACTGATGCACACACACAATGAGAAAACAATCGTAGAGAAAAACATATTGTATATTTATATTTATTGTATATTTAATTATCTGTGGGGCAACTTTTATTTTATATTAAATTTCTGGCCTAATTTTGATGACCTATTTAAAAAAACTAGTTTTGTTTCCAGAACGCCCATACCTACCTACATACCTACTTAACATAATATATTGCCTTGACTCTGATATTTCGAACAACATGTTTCCACTGGCATATTCTTGTTAAAGCTAAATCCATATATTTTGCCCATTTTTGGATAAAAAGTTCTATAGTTGCAAATTGATATACTGATGAATTGTACCTTAATGAATTGTTTGCAATAAATGCGTATACAATGACAATCTTAGCTGAGCAGTCGTTTCTTAAATTATTCAATAATCATCAAGGTGACAATGACCTTAAATGACCATTCTGATTGCTTCAAGTATTCTGTACATATTCAGATTAAAATAATGAACGTAGACAAGAGAGATAAAGTAAAAATATCAAGTTACAAAACGTCAATTGTCCTTTTTTCTCTCAAATTTAACCGTAGGGGAACATGGGGCAAAATGGCCCCGTGTGGCAAAATGGCCCATCGAAATATCTCAGTTTGAACTATGAAAATAAGGTTCATCAAAAGTCACATAATATTGAATTTTGAAATTTCCATCACCTTCTCGACTGTCCTTTTTTAGCATAGCAGCGTCTCGCCTTACGTAAAAGGTAGTTCTTCCTTTCATTCTCTTTTTGAAAATTACCCATCCCTCGAGAATCTCTAAAAAATCCGGCAACAATAGAATATCGTTTTGAATTAATAACAGTTTACATAATGTATGCATATTCATTCATTATGTGTAAAAATTTCGAGCTTCAAATGTTAGGGAAATTAAAATGACGTCTATTTGAAAATTCACATGTGGGGCAAAACGGCCCACAAAGGTTACAACATACAAAAATCTAAATAAATTATAACAATTGATTTTCAGATATAACGATTATAGCATTTGGTTTGTTCCTTATTTCCTTCCGACATCGAATGACTAGTTTAGTTTAGTTTTAGTTTATTTAGTTTATTTCAAACAAATAAATAAAACTAGAATTATGGTAAGGGTTATAGTTAAAGAATACTTTATCTTTCTAAGGTTTTTACGTCTGAGATAAGATGTGTGTGGAAGAGTCTTGTAATTGATTAATCTTGGTTAAAAAAAACCATGTAATAGAGGGTCAGCCGTTTTGCCCCACCCATGGGCCGTTTTGCCGTCAGTCTCAACATTCACTCTCAACATTCGGTATTTTTGACCACTGAAAAATCACAGAAAATAGTCCTAGGCAAGTATAAACACTCCAATTTAGATCACAACTGAAGGGCGTAGCCAGCTTTCAATCGGGGGGGGGGGGGGGGGGGGCGGGGGGTCGATCGCCAATTCGTTTTTCGGTTTTCAGTCAGGGGGTGAGATCTTGGCATAAGCAAGGCAAAACAAGAAAAATTAAGATCTGTTTGCTACGCCTATGCAACTCAGTGCGCGATGATTGACAGATAAGAAAATACCCCCAACGGAACAATTTAAAATTTAATTTTGAGGGCCGTTTTGCCCCATATGTTCCCATGATACTTTCAAGAGTTAATTAATTAATTTAAATATTTTCATTAAGATTAAATTTCTCAAGTTGTTCAAAATTGAACTTCTGAAATTAAAACAAATAAGCCGAAAGAAAAATCTAGATTAGTATACATCCGAAAGTAAATACATGTCCCTTTGAAGATGAAAATTAAATTGTTCGTTGTTTTGATACGTTACAGAAAGTACGACCGCGAGCGAAAACAGCAACCGATCGTACTTTTATCAGAAATTGATTGCACTTGAAAACTCATCTCAGAGTCTATATTTCATGTATAAACTACCTTATCTGAATAAAAGACACATATTCTGACTTCTGGTGTGATTAAATAGTACTTTTATCCATCGCTTATCATCACTAAACATGAAAACAAATTTGAACAATTCTTCTATTTTGCTACTGCGCACGCGCAAATTTCATGCCAAACTTGGAAATAACGAATCGAAACCTTTTAACAATTTTTAACTTATTCGGAATTATAGCTCAAAATACCGCACTCGACGTCCTGAATATGATTTGATTGTTAATAATTCTATTTAACCCTATTAATCAAACCAGAATCAAACACAAACGATTAGACAAATCTCATGTTATTTGGTTTACGTCAGTGACGTCACAACAAAAATGGCACCTTTAGTTGCAAGGTGTTGTTTGGCAGGGCTTAGAAGTATCCCTGTAGTGTTCATAGTAGCTGTCATTGTCTGGTCATACTATGCCTATGTATTGCAGATGTGCGCATGTAAGTACAGAACATGTCAAATTGAAAATCAATCATAAGACATCACGTAATTTAGCTTGCAAAGCTCAGAAATTCGAACAGGAAGTGATATTTTTGTGGTTTTGTTTACATTTTTAATTTTATTCGTCATTTCTTGTGAACGGAATATCGCTGTACATGGTACCAGCAATGACCGTTAAACAAGTAGTGATTATTTCAGCAACATACATGAGAGTGATTTTGTTTGAAATGAATGTTGCAGTTTGGTGTTTGTGTTTACATAGTCTAGTCTAGTGAGTCACTCATTGACTTTTGTGACATTCGTTTACAATAAATGGGATGGTCGCCCAAAACTGTTCATTTTCGCAGTACTATAGTTCAGTATCAGAATTTGGAACATAAGGTAGTACTTTTTGAAAAGAACAGGGCGCTACTCAAAACTGTTCCTATTTGTTGTGGCTGGCTCCTTTGGCCGCGCTCGAGCGGTAGAGCATCAGACTTTGGCGGGGAGGTTTCTGGGTTCAATTCCTGCACTGGGCTTACTATATTCGCACATAGCCATCTTTAGATAGATGACTATGCAAACCTTGATATTCCCTGTCCATGTTAAAGGTCTTTTACAAAAATGTAAGAAATCTTGGGAACATTTTACCCTATTTCAATCGATGCATAACATTCTAAAGTATTATTTTTCCAACTATATTGGGCTATCTAGAGTCGGGAGCCAGTGTAATTGATGAAAAATGTATTTTGAACTTGTTATTTTCAATGTCGTCTGACCAGGAAGTCTTGCCAATGCGCATGCGTGTAACCGGAAGCGGAAATCTCATGGCATGGAAGCGAATGCGCATAACCAATCTTCCTGAGAAGCCATCTTGAAAATTATCAACTCTTCAACGTTTTTCGTCAATTACACTGGCTCCCGACTCCAGCTAGCCCAATATGGTTAGAAAAACAATACATTAAAATGTTATGCATCGATTGAAGTAGGGTAAATGTTTCCAAGATTTCTTACATTTTTACAAAAGACCTTTATAAAGGACTGGGAATATCAAGATATGCAAAGCTTTCTCTCAGGAGATAGCTTTGTGCAAACTAAGTAACACTGGGCATTGAATTAAGCATACTGCCTTTCATGTCTAGTAGCTGCCCAGGAGTCTAACTACTCATATACATGAAAATAACCGTTAATTTGAATTTTAGACTTACCAGGTGTTTGTAAATTAAGGATTGTGAGTCTCGTACTGCACTGTTTTTCTTCAAACAAAAATGCCTTTCTGTCGTTGCATTGTTTTAGTGTACAGAGTTTCTCGGTTTAGCGACGTTTGGGTCCCCAAACCATGGGCTTTCAATCTTTTGAGTGCCCATGGTATAACAGTACAATGTACCATCAGAAAGGCATTTTTGTTTTGCTTTTAATGGAATAAATTTAAAGAAAAACGATGTAGTTTGAGACTCACAATCCTTAATTATCAAACACCTGGTAGGTCTAAAATTCAAATTAATGGTTGTTTTCATGTATAGTAATAGTTAGACCCTGTGCAGTTACTAGACATGAAGTTGGGACAATACAGACAAAGGGAAAAAGTCGGACAATGTCCCATTGGTGTACAGCTAGCTGAAGAGATGTAAAAAAACAACACATATTTCTGGACTAGGATTAAACTGTTGATTAAATCTGTAAATTATATTTTTCCTGTGATAATTCACCTCTTTACCTCATATAAACCTCATTTAAATCAATTGATTGAATGTTCAAATTTTAGCCTCAAATAGACAGAGGGATTAGATCTGATGCAAGATATAAATCTGCTATTCACCATAGTTAATCGTCTTCTTATGTTTTCAGGGACAGTAGAAAATACTGGTGAAAAAGGTAAGTTAATGTCACTGGAATATTCATCCAATATCTAAGTCTATTGAGTAAATGTATCATATTTTGGATTTTGCAGCCAAAATTATCAATTTAAATTATCTTTCTAAATAGTATTAAATCAGTGGAATGCCCTTGCTGCCTTATGCACCTAAGAACAGTGTGCAATCTACTTACAGAGGTGAAAGAACAGTGTGTGAATGAACGTGTTCCACATAAGGAATTCTCCTTTGATGGGAAAAACAATTGTTTAAAAACTTTTATGTAATAAAGTCCAATTTAACCTTGATAATATGTTCCAAACTAATAATTGCTTAATATGTAATGAATTATACAGTATATATTTTTGATTTATGTATTTATCAATTAAATGTGTTCTCTGCACAAGTTTAAACATTTTGATATACATATGTAGGATACAGTATGCATTTCCTATGTTTCAGTGATTTACCTTGTACTCTACCATCCCCTGTTGTTTATGTTTGCCTGGGCCTACTGGAAAACAATATTTACCCCAGTCGGAACAGTCCCAAAAGAGGTAAGTTTATTAACAATTTTGTGTAACATTACCCAAAAATGAAATTTCTCAACTTTTATTTTATTTTAGTCTTTGTATTATTTCATGCATGGGAAATGATTTTCACTGACCCACTCAAACCCAAGGTGTGTACAATACTGTGTAAAAATTGCATAATATTTATAAATTTCAGTTCTATCTTCCCCCTGCTGACTTAGAAAGGTTTGAACATGCAGATAATGAAGACATACAAAGGGATATATTAGTAAAAGTTGTACGAGAGCGGAACTTACCAGTTCAATGTAGGACAAACTCTGGAGGTAAAGAATTTTTGAAAATATTAGCAGAAGTTTCACTAGAATTTCTCACAACAGGCTAAATAAATGAAAACAACAGGCAAAATTAAAGGAAATCATAAAGTAGGAGGGAAATTAACGCAACAGATTTCGGACAGTCATATGTTGGATTTTGGCTATTTTCTGAGGATTTAAACAGGTGCATATGTTAGGCCAATGCATTACCTCCAGGAAAAGCACTTCTAGAGATGATAAAATAATTTCGACTTTGAGACAGGGTAGATGCAAACAAGCCACCCACATGTTTTTTTTGAAATGTTTTCCTGATTTTCAACCCCTTCCACTCTGGTTTTTGGTTTTTATAATTTTTCTTGCATAAATATATTGCGTTTTGACACACAGTTAACCCCTTTAAAGGAATAAGTGATTCCTTTTCGATAAAGTGGAAAACAAAATTTCCCATGTTATTTTCCCATAGGGAAAACTCATGCGATCCATTGCTTTCAGCTAATTTTGGTCACCCATAATAGATATCTTTAAAACCCCTGAAGGAATCACTTATTCCTTAAAGTGGTTAACTGTGTGTCAAAACACAACATATTGATGCAACAAAAATTTAGAAAGCAGGGGTGGAAGGGGTTGAAAATCAGAACAACATTTCAGAAAAAACATGTGGATGGGTTGTTTGCACCTCCCCTGTCTCAGAGTCAAAATTATTTTATCATCTCTATGAGTGCTTTTCCTGGAGGTAATGCATTGATCTAACATACGCACCTGTTTAAATCCTCAGAGAATAGCCAAAATCCAACTTATGACTATCCGAAATCTATTGCACTAATTTCCCTCCTCCTTTAACTTTGAAAAGTTCCTAAAAAAAACAGGCACTTTTGTGAAAACAACCGGTGAAAATTGCCTGTTGCCAACTGCTAATGAAACCCCTGATTAGTATATCAAAACTTGTTGTTCAAAAGCCACCAAGACTGGCCAAAGGTGTTCAGATTGGTAGTTGTTCACAAAGTCTTCATTGAGAGTTGTTCATATTATTGGCTGGGCTCTCGCTAGGCTTTTAGAGTGTGGCACAGCACCACACTCTATTTAGCTCCCACCACAACCTATTGGCAAATCATGATTGATTCCACAGTCTAAACTTGAGCAAATACACAATTTCAGCATGTGAAAATGATAAAATAACATAAGATATGATTTATCACGATTGAACGGTTATGCTTAAGATGTTTCCACCACACCCTAAATTTTTCCTGGTGAGAGCGCTGATTGGAGAGGTATTTGGTATACAAACCATAATATCAGGCCTCGTTGATCTCCACGCATAAAAGCAAGAAGGCACGGCTCCCAGTTCAGACTTCTAAATGAGGTTTACAGTCACCTGAAAACTTATTAAAAATGAGAAAAATTCATGACATAGTAAAAAATTTGGCACTCATTTATATTGAAAAAATAATTTTGACAAGAACAGTTGCAAGTGTCGAACAATAAATTCAGACCCTTAGACATACTAAAATTTCTTTCAAAAACTTTTTCTTATGAAAATATACACAAAATAAATAATGATAAAAGATTTAGTCCAAAATTGTTGTTTCATTTGCAGCTATCCGATACTGTGAGAAATGCAAGTGTGTCAAACCAGATAGATGTCACCACTGCTCAGTGTGTGGAGCGTAAGTAGCAAAAAACATTTTAAGTCTGTCAAGTCACTTTGATGTTATTTAAGTCACCTTTTTTAAGAAATATCACATTAAACATTAATTTTAGTAGAATACCAATTGTTTACATGTAGTTAGCATTTGGTGTATGAATGTTCAAGTCAGTAAAGATTAAATTAAAAAATTATGGCGCCATATTTTTTTGATTTTTCTTTAATATGTTTTGCAGGTGTGTGTTAAAGATGGACCATCACTGTCCATGGTAAGATCTTTTATTTCATTTATTAAATTGAAAATAATACAGTGATATTAATATTTAAGGTGGAAGACACCTTATACAGGCAGATTATCCATTCATGGTGGGTAAAAACCTTTATGATGCCCACGTGTTCTATAAGCATATTCATATTGTTCTTTTAGCGAAATCATTTTGACCTTAAAAGTCATAGTTAGTTAACCAAAAGTTGATTTCAATTTTGATTTCAAATTCACAACACCCAGAAATAGACTAAAAGGTTTTAATTATTTTTTTTACCAATATAATTGTATTGTATTTGTGTTTCAGGGTGAACAACTGTGTATGCTACACTACTTATAAATTCTTCGTCCTATTCCTTGGATACGCTTTGTTATATTGCTTGTATATAGCAGCAACCTCAGCACAATACTTTGTCAAGTTCTGGACAGTAAGTTAAACTTTTCCTTTATTTGGTAGACCTTCCCTTATTTGGTAGATCTTCCCTTATTTGGCAGATCTTTCCTTATTTGGTAGATCTTCCCTTATTTGGCAGATCTTTCCTTATTTGGTAGATCTTTCCTTATTTGGTAGATCTTTCCTTATTTGGTAGATCTTCCCTTATTTGGCAGATCTTCCCTTATTTGGTAGATCTTTCCTTATTTGGTAGATCTTCCCTTATTTGGTAGATCTTTCCTTATCTGGCAGATCTTCTTTGAGCCTCAGAATTGGAACATAAATGTCAATAGACATTTAAATGTTCAAGCTGAAGACAGATAAGGAATTTACACTTGTCATTTCTAAAGTCAGTAAAATATTCAGGTGAATGAAATATAAACTTAATTAAAGTATCCATTGTTTCTGATTCTCTTTCATGAAATTTATGATTGTTATGTAATGATTCAAATGAAGATTTATCTCTAAATGATAGAAATATTGATAAAATAATTCAAACATTTATGATGAGTGATATATTGAAAGGGTTTTGTATTGTATTGATGTATTATGTTCACAAATGGCATTTTTAAAATGCATAGAAGAAAAGCATTGGGCTCAGTGGAACCTGTAAAGTGGATCAACCACAAGACCACAAGACCAACTGAACATCTCCCAAGTGGAACACTTTAAAATGTGTACCAAAGCTGTTCCACTTAAACATATTTCAATTCATTTTTTGTAGAAGGCAGGATTTTCCCATGTGACTGGCTTCGAATACAAATTTCGGGAATACACCAAAGAATCGTTCAATTGCGTACCAAATTATTAATCTTTTTATGGCTTTATTGTTTTCAGAAACCTGAAAATTCAACTACCAAGATCATGGTTCAGTTTCTTTTTTTCGTCGCAGGAATGTTTGGACTAGCTTTAATAATACTACTAGGATTTCATATATTTCTTGTTCACAAGAATAGGTCAACGATAGGTACATAAAGTATACAGAAAAACAACCAAGCAGAATTGTTTCATTTTTTGTTCCATTTCCTATTCAATATCAGAAAAATCAAAAGAGGTTGATCAATAGAAATAACAAATACTTGTCAGTTCTAGAATGTTCATGTATAGTTCTAGAACAGTTCATGAACAGTTCTTATGTTTTTCATGTGGGATTAGTGAACGTTTGAATGTAAATTAACTCATATGCACATGATCAAAAATTGTTATATAATATTCAAAAATACATGAAAATGTATATGAAAAATGAAACAATTTGGACAGGTTATTTTAATATTGTTTGCACAGTTTTTTTTTCTTTTAGAGTTCTAACACCATGTAGAGGTGATTTTCCACATATGTTAACAATAGTCTCTGTAAAGAGAAAATAGTATGTCAGCATGAATCCATCTATACAAATCCTGGCTTCCATTAAACTTTCAATCATCAGATTTAAAGAAAAGTATTAAGCACTGGTACTCACCAAGATGGAAGAACTTCCGGGCTTCGTTTTTGGTAAGATAACTTGTCAACAACTTGACTCATAAGTGCCGTAGAATCGAAAAATAAAAATATCTTACTAAAAACGAAGCCCGGAATTTCTTCCATCTTGTTACGCTGACGTATCGTCAGTGTAACTTGGTGAGTACCAGTGATTAAGGTGTGCCTCACTTGCTTGTATTGCGTTATCAGATGATGTTTGGGTGAATCATTATCTTAGAAATTCAGCACTGCTTACCTTAATCCTCTGACGCCCAGTAGAAACAAAGTTGAAATATTTTGTTTTGTCTTTATTTTGAGCCTGCTGTTGACATGGGGGATCTATTCCATAGTTTTGTAACACTCAAGACTAATGAATATGTCAGTTGAGAATAGAGGCCTATCTGGAGTTTTTATGCAGAATTGCCAAGTTAAAATTGTGGCAAAGAGTACCCAATCCCCAGGTGTACAAGCTGCAAAGCCAGATCCACCTAGATATTATCTAAACTGACATATTGATCTGATACAGGGTGTCCCAAAAAGTAACAGCGCTGGTGTTGTCCTTTTGTAACCACTGATCATGTTAAAATTTTTACAGAATGTACTTTCATGTATTGCGACTTGAACATGATAAGTGCAGTATTAACTAAATGCCAGCACCATTCCTGATACTTTTTGAACACCCTTTGTTTGTTTTGTTTCTTTTTCTTTATTTCTAATGCTTTATTTTTTCTTAATTCTAGGGAGGTCTAGAACAAGGGGGAGGTCGTTTCCACATCCTCTTCCTGTTCTTTGTATCATTCATGTTCGGCCTTAGTTTAGTCTCCTTATTTGGGTATCATTTATATCTAACCTGCAACAATAGATCTACATTAGGTAAGGAGAAATAACCCCCCCCCCCCTGTTGATGGCACAAACTTATGGTCATCCATTTACATAACTAACCTGGGAGTCCAGGACTTGATATTCATAGTGCCAAAGTAGTTATTTGCTACCAGAATTCATTGGATAATTACCTATTATTTTTTCCACAATTTTTGCTAACTTTCTTGGAATAGTATTGTGTACTTCCGTCTGGCCTCTGATTACCCTACCTACATGTGTGTTATAAAACCATTTTCTCTCTTATTCCCCCATTGGTAAGAAAATCCTTGAAATTCCGAATAGAGTTCAATATCAATTTTTACATGTAGCTCATTATACCTGTTCAAGTCTATGGCTTTAGTTGACAACTACTTGATGGTAGCAAATAACTACCTCAAAATGGGCCAGTAAGCTACTAGATAGTATTTTGGCAAGAATAATGTCAAGACCTGGATTACTGGCTGACTGGTACCATCATATTGTTTAGCTGGATTTAGCAAAGATAAACAATGACATTGACTGTCCCGGGGTCCAATGCTCAAACACATTAAAAAGTGAGAATTGTAAATCATAAAAATTGCTATTTTCAAGTATTGGACCCCCTATTTTTGAGCATCTTGATTTGAAATAATACAATAATTGAAATGAATGAATGTGTGTACCATATTCAAAACTGAAATGAATGTGTGGAGAGACCATATTAGTACTAATCAAGTTAAATCCAGCCAAATATTATATACTTCACAACAGCAAAGGTTCTCTACTTCCAGTGTGTTTCTTGGGTTTTGTGGAATATTATTGAAAATAAATAATAGTGTTATCTTTATATTTTTATAATCATTAAACATCTCTGTAACTTTGTTCAATGGAAAAATTTGTATTTTGTTGCGAGTTGCCCGGATGTAACTGAGCAATGCCCTTAATTCTCAAACTTTTCAAGGTCTTTTTCTCGAAGAATCTCGCAAAATGTAAGTCCATATAGGCAAACTCCACCATTTCCGCCATTTAAGGAGATGTCAATTTGTCAGATTGTCCAGTATAGGCCACGTTTTTTGCCCATTTATGGAGAATGCAATGCACGAGAGTGAACAGTCAAATGTAGAAATTTTGTTCACTTGAAAAAAAACATGACCTATCAACATATTCCACAATATCCCAGCTTTGCTATTTTACTAATACACAACTCACATTTTACAATACAGTCTAATGTACCTCAAGGAATGGCTCAAATTGAGCTGTATCCTATTCATATTGATTGAATTTCTTGAAGATGTACATTATACTGTTAGGGAACAATTTGGCTGGACTGGGGGCTCAAGAATTCTACTTTTAAAGTAATGCTTGTTTCGATAAAATTTCTGCTGTGCTAACATAAGGTGCCTATTAAGACTGATATCCTTCAAGAAACCATGGCAATTACTGGCTTGAAGCTTTAAAATGATTTGCCACAAAAGGCTATAAGGTTTCTTTGATATAATACCAGAGAGTCTTAAAGATTGGATTCCCTGCCCTTTGGTCCTGCGATTTAAGCACATAAAGTACATTTTTTCTTAACTATATCAACTTCAAGATCTGCAAGCTATACAAGGGATCTCTTTCAAATAGTATCCCTTCCCCTTATCACCTCCCCCTTCCCCTTCTCTCCTAGACTTGTATACCCCCTCCGAAAGTTCCATCATAAATTGTGTGTAAATTATTATGTAATGTAACCAACTGTACTCTGTGTTCACTCCAGGGATATGAAGGATTTGGAATGGGCCGCTTCCATATTCTTTTTCTCTTCTTCGTCTCATTTATATTTGGTGTGAGCTTGACGGCACTGTTCAGCTACCACATTTACCTGTCTACTAGGAATAGGTCAACTTTAGGTACAGCGTATTTGAATAGGTTTCTAGAGTTTATCAAGCATCAGCAGTACTGTCAACCCCCAAAGATTTTCTCGCGGGACAGATTTTTTAGACCCAGTGCCCAAAATTTGCGGGATTTTGCGGGACATCTACTAAATTCGCGGGATTTCGCGGGACTTTTAGGTTTCCACCTAAATTTGCAGGATGTCCCTGGACATGCAAGGGATTTGCGTGATTGGTAAAAGTACTCCAATCAAACCTTTTGATACTGATTAATCAAATATAATACACTTAAATTGTAACTTAAATAAACGGCAACACAATTCCACAAAATACGCATAAGAATAATATTAAACTTTATTGTTATTTATCAAAAACAAAAACCATGCTTCAGGTGTGAGTCCCATAATCGAACACGAAATTCAAAAATTCTGAACAATACTTTGCACTTATGGCGTTCGTGACCAGCTATGAAACGCTTTCCCCCATAGTATTATATATATATTACCTGTTCATATAGGCATGGGCTTTCAATTGATAGTCCATGATATAGGGGTTCAATTAATCTACATCAAATTATAGAGAGTCAGGTTACTTTTCTAGATGTCAGCGTCCATTTATTGTAACTCGCGTTTGCTAACATTCGTAGAAGTCCTTAAGTCAAAAATGCCGCGGGTATTCTGCCTACAAAAATAAGGAAAATAAATAAAATAAGGAAAAAAGAAAAATCGTACCTTCGACGCTCCGGCATTTTGTTACCGTAACCAGTGTAATTGAGCGGATCACCAGTGCAAATGCAAGCTCATATGACCATCAGATATGATCACATTGTGAAAGATAATCAAATTTAACAACCTCTGATGCTTGATATGTTCAAATTTAGGTGTTCTTTATAATTCGATTGTGGTCTAAGCCAAGCATGAGGCTTACCAATCAAAATATTACTTTGGTGGAAAATGGGAAATAAAGTTTTTTGTAGCACATGTAGTTTCAAAATCTGATTTTGTCTAAGTATTTAATTTTTAAAATTATGGTTTAATTAGCATGTTGTTGTATAGATTTGTATAGCATGACCTGGTATAAAAAGATTTCAGGCTTAGGTCATTAGATAGTATTTATTATTGGTGTATCATATATTTTTATTTATTGGTGTATCTGACTGTATCATACTATACATATTTTATTCATTTTGGGAACTCATTTTCAGATATTTGGAATGGCTTTTTTGGTTCGATGTTATCAATATCTTTCAGTTTAGGAATACCTTTAGATTTTACCATTTAGGAATCTTCGTCTTGTTTCCTTTTTTGAAAGATCATTAATTTTTTAAGCCAGTATGTTCATATACTTAAAGCAGTGGTCGTACCTGTTGTTCATGTAGAGTATTAATTGGTGTTTGTATAAAATTTGCTTTGCAACTTCTTCCCCAAAATCCCTACTTTAATATAATCATTCAAACATTTATTTATTTATTTATATTTCTTTATTTTATTGATCTATCTACTTTGTCGCTCTTTGCCTTCAGTTTTCATCAAATTTCTACTTTATCTGTGAGGTTCTTTGCTTTGCTTTGCTTTACATATGCACTCAATTACAATCTTTTTCCCCTTTTACTTGTTTTAAGTTAATCTTTATTTAATATCATGTGTTTGTTTATTGTTTATGTGCATTTTAGTTAGATATTTAGCTACATTTATTAATAACAGTAATACTAATTATCCTCAAATATGACAAGTGCAGTGAATCCAGTGATTTGATTTCATTCAGTTCAGAAAAAAATATGTTAGTAGTAATATGAGATATATTGTTTAGTCTTAAATGTGAAGTCCAAAACAAAGGATTGAGAATAATTCTATTAAATCTCTGAATATTCAATCTTTAAAAATGTTCTTGAATGTTTTTGAATGTTCTATGAATGTTCCATGAATTATTCCCATGTATATTTTTCCAAATGAAACATTGTGAACTTCTTTTTCTGATTAAGAGATAGTTATTCGAAAAACATTTTGCATTATAAGAACATGTTTTTACATTATTAAAGAGGATGTACGACTATAACAGGCGTTTATTTTCCAGAGTCATTTAGAGCTCCTATATTCCGTGGGGGACCAGAAAAGGATGGTTTCAACCTTGGGAGAAACAACAACTTTATAGAAGTATTTGGGGAGGAAAAAAAGAAGTGGTTCCTCCCTATATTTACTAGGTATTTTTGTTTATTTATTTTTTATCATATTAATTTAGTATTACATAAACAGTGTTGGCACTGTTAGTATGGGATCTGATATCAATTCATCTATGCAAAATATTAATATATCAACTTGTTTATAAATATTATATCACTTATATCATATTACATCATATCAGTATCAGGACACTGTATGTTTGTGCACTTCCCTAATAAAGTGGTATTGTCTGTTTTTTGTATTCTATTCAGTATGATTCACTTTTTGTGCTAAGGATTGGTCCACTGGTCACTAGGTCACTTTTGGCACGGACCAGTTGATTTTCTCAGTGGGCATAGGAAAATAACATGGCAGCTACGCTCACTCATCCAGATATTGATCACCTCGTGGATAAAAATGATATCTCGAAAAAATCATAGGATGTTCTATTTATCCCATAGTTCACCTAACGAAGCATATCAAAACAAATCATAGGATGTTCTATTTATCCCAAAGTTCGCCTAACAAAGCATTTCAAAACAACATTCAGTTTTATATAGCCAAATCATTAATCATTTCCATATTTGTGACGTCATGAAATCACCATGGAAGCTCATGTAAAAATGCACGTCACATTGGCGGGAGTTTTCAAATCTGTGGAAAAAAGTGATATCTGTGGAATATTCTCCGTATTCCACATATGTCACTTTTTCCACTCATTTGCAAAATATCATAACTATATATACGTGTTATCCTACAGATTTGACCTCAACTATGGGATAAACTATAAGTATCATTATTACATATTGTTTATATTGTGTTTCAGTTGTGGTGATGGCGTTATGTACCCTACTAGACTAGCTCCAGGGAACTCATATAGTTCTATGGACACCTCAACACCTACTGGAGCTACAAGGTAAATGTTTCAATTTTCATTAGGCTTGGACAACCTTAAAGGGGAAACTAAGTATACTTATAAAAGGATGATGGAACATCCATGGATGATGCCTGGAATTGTCAAATAAATGATATTTGAATCACTAAAATCAGAAAAAGTTGTTTTTGTCCATATCTCATGATCTCAAGTGTCAGATAACCCAATTTGTAACAACCCCAATCTGTAACAATCCCAATTTGTTACAATCCCAATCTGTAACAATCCCAATCTGTAACAATCCCAATTTGTAACAATCCCAAATCCCAATTTGTAACAATCCCAATCTGTAACAATTCCAATTTGTAACAATCCCAATTTGTAACAATCCCAAATCCCAATTTGTAACAATCCCAATCTGTAACAATTCCAATTTGTAACAATCCCAATTTGTAACAATCCCAATTTGTAACAATCCCAATTTGTAACAATCCCAATCTGTAACAATCCCAATTTGTAACAATCATATACAAATTTTAAAAACATGAATGACCATCAAAAGACAATTTTTCTATTGACGAGTGAGGGTAACATATTAAAAGAAATTGCTGACATGATAAATTATCTAATGATTGGTAGAGACAGGATTCTTACATCAAAGTAATATATTATATGCCATTTGAAGAATGTGATCCTATTTTCTTTACTTTATTGCTATTTTTACTGTTATTGAAAATTGTATATTGGATGTACGTTTGGCCCTAAAAGGGCATCAGTACTAATAAAATCCTGTTATATCATTATACGAAACCATGAATAAGATAACTTTAATATTATAAGATAACTTTAATATTATAAGAAAACTTTAATATTATAACATCTGGGAATCATATGGGATATTTCAAGCAGTCTCATATTTCTCATCCTGTCTCTACCATTCGCATACACATAATAAACCCAGGTAATAGTAATACGACGGGATGGTATGTTGATATATTTAAGAGATGTTAAAGATGCTGTTCTTATCAACACACCTGCATATTTTGAACATGAGTAATTTTAATAATTCACTTAGTCTGAACATTTCATCTGCATTTAATAAACTGACAATTTGAATGTTCTTTTTCAGTCCATTTCAAAATAATAAAAGTGTAAATGATTCTGAGACGTTACTAGGACGACAACAAAAATATCTAGAAGAAGGTGTTACAGAGCCACCTATTAGTAAGTTATATTTTTTTAATATTCAAGTATCCTTTGGTAAATGGTATTAATGTTATACCATACACCAACACACACCAGTAGTGTAAAAATGATTTTGTTAGAAGTGCTTTTAAGTTAATTTTGTAATAAGACACTGTTTGGTGAATTGACTATTGTTGTTACTGCTTTCTTGACTTTGGTCCTCTTTCTACTATGTAATGTACTACTTTTAAGGGTCATATTCTATCATATTTTGTAAGAGCACAATCATTTTTTGGTGGAGGGATAAGCAGCCTATTTGCCTCATACATCTGTGAAATATATCTGTGTAATCCCATATCACAGAATGTTCCATGTATCTATGTTATCTCATTGTTATCCCATATCTCAGCCTTATCCCATTTCTCATTGTTATCCTATATCTCAGTGTTATTCCATATCTCATTGTTATCCCATATCTCATTGTTATTCCATATCTCACTGTTACCCCATATCTCAGTGTTATCCCATATCTGAATGTTATCCCATATCTCACTGTTATCTCATATCTCAGTGTTTTCCCATGTCTCATTGTTATTCCATATCTCACTGTTACCCCATATCTCAGTGTTATCCCATATCTGAATGTTATCCCATATCTCACTGTTATCTCATATCTCACTGTTATCCCATATCTCATTGTTATTCCATATCTCAGTGTTATCCAATATCTGAATGTTATCCCATATCTGAATGTTATCCCATATCTCACTGTTATCCCATATCTCAATGTTAGCCCATATCTGAATGTTATCCCATATCTCACTGTTATGCCATATCTCAGTGTTCTCAAATATTATCCTATACATATCTGTAAAACACTCCTCTGTATTATCCCATATCTCAGTGTTATCTTAGTACAATTTATTATCCTTTATCTTGGTATTATCCTATATTTCAGGATACCAAGATCACAATGGCTCTACTAGTGTACTCATTAGCCCCGACCAATAACCAAATATGGTAATAATAATATATTTAAACGCATCAAAATATTTCATATTGGTCATGAATTTTCACCTTATTTTTCAAGTTTTTACTCTTGCATTTCTCGACTATTATTACATGCAAGTCGATGTTGTATTTTCTGTTTTGTCTGGTAACTTAACCCTTGTTAAGCTGATTCGCAAAATTATATTTTATTGGTTTTCATTTTTTCCTAAAAATTATATTTTATTTACTATCTACTTTCATGTTAATCAATAAAAAAAGTATCAGTTCATACATCTAGGACATGTACTATACATCAAACTAAAGCATGTAAGAAAATTCACAAAGGTAGCTGTGCATGTTATGTTCAGTTGCTCAAGGGTTAAGACTTGTTTTTCTTTCTTGCTATTCATGTAATTGATTAACTCTTTCTGGGAAAGCATGGCCACTATGATTTTTTATGTATAAAATATATATTTAACTTGATTTGAAAACAGAGAATTAAATTCCCTCAAAGTGGGAGTCAAACCCATGATCTCTCATTTTCAAGCTGATTTCTTTGGATAAAGCACTTGGCTGGACATCATGAGGTTGTGGGTTTAATTTTCAATTTTGAATAGACGAATAGTTTCAGATGATGCATGAACTCTTTGTTACATACACATTTTCTGAAAAATTCAAAAGATTCTGTTCAGTGACCTTCCCTAGTTCTTACTTTAAGCTATTTTTCAGTCACACTTTCAAAGGGCTGAAAAGGTTATTTCATCATGTTCAGGGTCATTCTGACCATGAACATTGTGATATATATATATATATCTTTTATTGACTCTCTGATGTCATTGCAATGACATATTAGTCACTACAAACTACAATATACAAAATTAAACTAAGACTAAACTAACTACTTCATAGGAAATATACAAAGTTGTAAAATACAATTACAGCATCACAAAATGTAAAATACAAAAATGAGATAATTGTAAAATACAGATACAACATGACAGAATTTAAAACATCAGTGTGATGTATCATTGTTACAATATTAATCAAGTTTTTTGAATGAATGATAAATGAACTTTGCTAGATGTAAAATTACATAAGAATTTTTATGAGACAAAAGCTTTTTGAAAATAAAGTTAGGACTTCCTACAAAATTAAATTGCGTAAGGGTGTCAAACAAAAGTTTTCTTTCTGTTGTATTTTTCTTACACACCATGATAAAGTGTTGTTCATCTTCTAAAATACCACACATATTACATAAACGTTGATCCACAGGTCTTGGCTTAGGCTTCAAATGACGACCAGTTTCTATATGTAATTTGTGTGAACTAAGCCTAAATCTACTTATTGCTTGTCTGTAATTTCTATTTTGTATATTTAAATAACCCTCTCTTTCAAAGACATTTTTGAATGTTATGTAAGTTCTTAAAACAGGATATTTCAAAATATCTTTCTGCCACTGAGACTTATAATTCTGATACAGTTTTTTTGTTATCATCTTGATAAAAATATTATCATCATCGATCTTTTGAGTTTCCCAATATGAGAATAAATCACATTTTTTCAAAATATCAGTGATTTTGTTTGACCAAGTGCCTTTAAAACCCAGTTGGCTCATTTCGAGGTCATGCGTATATGTTTTATGAAGAATGTTTCCAGGTGATAGATGAATTAAACGGAGCCAATATTTAATTAACTTAATTTCAAAACGTATTTTTAATGGGTAACGTCCTAATTCTCCATAGACTGCTGGTGTTGCTGTTGATTTTTTAACACCTAATAAACTTTTAAGAAAAGATAAATGCATTGTCTCTATTGTCTTAAGATGTTTTTCATTAATCCACACCTCTGAAGCATAAGTTAGGATAGGTTCAACTAAAGAGTCAAAAAGGTGCAATGCAAGATTAACTGGAATGTCATTAAATTTTTTATATTGCTGTTTAACTTTAAACAAAGCTTTTCTTGCCTGCTCTTTTAGATAACATACATGCTGGTCAAAATTCTTAGTTTTGCTGAATACACATCCTAGATATTTATATTGCTCAACACTTTCTATTGCACTATCATTGAATGTGAAAACTATATCAAATTTTGAGTTAAAAACAATTGATTTTGTCTTCATTGTGTTAACTATAAGATGATATCTCTTACAAAAATCAAAAAGACAATTGAGCAAAGTTTGGGCGCCATCTTTACTATTTGACATCAAAATAAGATCGTCAGCCCAAAGTAAGTGGTTTAACATATTTCCATCAAATTGAATACCATTTTCTTTTGGTAGATTATCTTTTAAATCATCAAGGAAATGGTTGAATAAATAAGTACTAAGTACAGAGCCCTGCATTACTCCGACATTTGTTTCGAAAGCAGGGGTGACACCTTCTTTTAATTTCAGGCATGCTTTTGACTTTTCATACATACTTGTTATAACCTTGAACATATTAGAATCAGGTGATATTCCCGATTTACATAGTTTATACATAAGTGCCACTCTATTTACATAGTCAAATGCTTTTCGAAAATCTATCATAATACAGAATAATGGCTTTTTCATGAGCTTATAACGGGTTATGATTGTGTTTAAAATATATAAATTATCTGTTGTTTGATGTCCAGATTTATAAGCACCTTGAAGTGGATCCTGGACCTAAAAATGGTATTTGGAACTAGTTGAATTGACTGGAGGTCAAAACAGAACTCTATTATCTTTGTTCAAAAAATGTTTCCTGTTTCGTCATTTCCTGTTAAGTATCATGGCACCTTAAAATAATTATCATGCTTGTCTTTCAACTTAACAGAAAAGCATGGCAGTGTCTTCTGATTTTCCTTCTAATCTCTGAATGATCAATTTTTCATGTTATGATATCATTTTTTTTTGTTTATTTATTGTACATTCCTAGATATATTGTATATTCCTGAGTTTATTGTATTTCTGTTTCAGATAATGCAGTGTTTGACAACCAAGGGGTCACATTTCAAGATGAGTTTACAAAGATGTGAGAGTGGACACCCTGTAGCCACACAATGAAATAATACAGGGTGTCCTAACATGTTCACACAGCTCTTGGACACCCTGTACACTCCACACATCGTCTAAAGAACATTTAAGAGACACAAACATTACTATGACATGTTTTATCTCATGACACATATAGTGCCCAATGACATACAAATGACTAAAGACGCGGAGACATAAGTAAAATCTGTGCAAGTGGAACAGCTTCGATTCCTCAAATACTCCACTTTGGAGGTGTTCCACTTTACAGGTTTCACTGTAGTTTTTCTGAAGTAAGTGTGTGTTATTGTAAAAAACATGAAAATGGCGACACAGTGCATTTGGATATATTGAGAGTATAAATATCATCAGGAACCATCACCAACATTATATGGAATTGAGATTATGAGTTTCAGTTCCTCGAATAGGATGCACTTTTTAGGTCAACTAGTTAAAACTGAATTACAGGCCAGTTTTCTGTTATTTTTCTGCTCATCTTAAAATAATCAGCTTTTACGGAGTAGAATCCATGAATGACACTTTTATGATTTATCAATATATAGTATACAGAATACACTGACCAATTGGTCTCAATATGGACTGGGTGACTTTTCAGTTTTGAGGTGAATAACATGATATCTTGTCCCTGTTTGGTCTGAAGTATGACTAACTACATAGCACACCCTGTACATGACACTGTAGAAAATAACATAGCATTCTATTATATTCAGTTTTAACCAATTTGTCTGACTTCCAGTTATGGCAAACCCTGTACACGATTCTATGTTAAAATACCATGGCATATCTGGAGTGGGTTGGCCTCCCCTGATATACTCAATTTTGACCATTTGGTCTGAAATCCAATTATGACACAAGCCAATTATGACACCCTTTATATGACACAAGAAAATGAAACATTGTAAGTTATTGAATGATTTGAAGTGCAATACAGGATATATTCTGTACGAGAAATTTTGTATTGGGACGAGACAAAGTCGAGTGCCATTACAGAATATGGAGACAGAATATATCATGTATTGCACTTCAAATCATTCAATAACGTTTTTATTGTGTGATCCTCTGTATTGCTACAATCTCAGTAGCAATACAGATTGATACAGCACATGAACTGAGCAATCAGAGGGCTTCACTCTATGGATCATACGATAAGTAAAGTTATTGCATTGTTGTAGTTTGTATCAGTTTGTATATTGTAACTTGGAATATATTGTAACTTGGAATCCATGGAATACCCCTTATATGCACTGTTCCACAGCTGGATGACTCTAACTGCAATTAGCATCATTCAAGATGGTTGCCGAAATTCTTTCGTTTTTGACAAACCTCTGATTTCAGCTAAACTAAGTTGAATCTGGATTCCAAAAGTTTCGCCATGCAAACTTATAAAGCTATGATTGTACACAACCACATATAACTGCTCTAACAACCACGTTATGGGTGAATTTTAAAGAAAACAGCTTCACTTAATGACTCTAATTGAATTTGTCATCATCAACTTCAGTTAGAGTCATTCTAAGTGAAGTAGTTTTCTTTCAAATTCTCTAAAATTGGGGGTGTTTAGGCATTCGTGTTTTTTTACAATAATAGTTTTTTTAGTTTGCATGGCAAAACTTTTGGAATCAAAATTTAGCTTAGTTTAGCTGAAACCGGAGATTTGTCAAAAGTGAAAGAATTTCGTAACCATCTTGAATGACGCTAACTGCAGTTAGAGTCATCCAGCTGTGGAACAGTGATATATAGGGATATATTGTAACCATGGTTACCATACTGCAATGCATGACATTGAGATAAGCATTAAGTAACCATGGTTACGTAAACATTTTATTCTGTAATGTGAACACTTCAGTCCCGGCAGTTTTCATTTTGCATATGTTATGCAGTAAAATGAAAAGGTTAGAAATGGTGTATTACAACGAAATGATCTGTTTGAAATTTTTTACCGCGAAATGATCTATTTAATGAAGGGGGTCCCTCCCTCAGTCCCTTGATGCATTTTAAGCAACCCTTCCTTCTCCCAGCATTTCATGTAAAGTTGAAACAATGCAAGAACTGATATTGACCATGGTGCCATTTTCTCACAGTTCATGACAAAAATGAGCTGCTGCTATTAAAATATAACACCAGAATAACTTTATAAGAGTTGAGACAGTGGATATTTTTAACGGTACGTGTAGTTCTAGGAAATATTTTTTTGAATGAGTAAAAATAGATCTGTAGATAGGCCTATTCAATTTACATAATTGTTAATACCATTCAGGGTCCCAAATTGTTTAACTTTGGCACAATTTTTTTTATTTTAGTCAGTAAACTCTGTGAAAAATTAAGACATACAGTAAAATAATTGAAAGCTAGACACCTTTGATTCCATTTAAAATGATCCACTTAGAAGGTTTATTTAACATTAAAATTAGTAAATGGATCTCAAGATTGAAGTGTTCCATTTTTAAAGGTGTTCCACTTATAGGCCTAAAGGTGTTCTACTTGTCAGGTTTCACTGTTCCATATAAATGACTACAGGTCTTAATTGTTTATAAGGAATGCAATTTGAAATGTGCAATCCCCCAATCTGGATATCACAGTAAAAGGGTTGTGAAGAACATTTGTGTTGAAGTTGTTTCTCAGAGAAGTTTGTTATTGTGACTCGCAATGAGCTGGCTGGCTGTTTTTTGTTTACACAGTACAAGCACTCTACTATACCTAACCTCTAGAAATGCATAAGGTACTCTGTTTGTCTAATTGTATTGTTGAGTATATTCTTGAAAGTACCTTATTAACATCTAACATATCATCCGATAACCATTCATAAGGAACAGACACATAAAAACAAATAACATAATCATTACTGATAAGCCAAATGGGTTGCTCATGAACACCAAATACAAGGTATAGTAGAGTGTACAAGTGCATAACGATCAAAATCTTTAAATATATTAAATCTTACAATTTCAAGTTTTGTCTCCAAAATGTGACAATATTTCTGCTTTGTGAGACTTATTATTTTCTTAAAAGATACAAGTTTTATATAACTGTAAATATCTAAAAAACATTTGTCTAAATGTTTCCTGTACATTTATATATTTGTTTTATATTTTGAAATCAAAAAAGATTTAGAAACGAGAGTGTTTGGTTAGACTCGTGATGTATTTATACCCCAAAACAGCTCATTTAAGTTTGATTTTCTCCTTGGATAACCGAAAAGGTGGTGAGCTTGTTAGTTTCTATTTTTTTCACAATACATTAGTACAGTATAACCTGTATAATCCAAACACCATTGGGAAGGCCAAAAATGTTCGGATTGGTAGGTGCTCACATTTCAAGGTTTTTAACATGGAAGCCTACAATAGATTTAAAAATTTGGACCAAAAAGCATTGACATACATGTAATAAGAAGGGTGTTTGGATGTACAGGTGTTACTGTACTACATGAAGATCAAATACTTTAGATTTATTCAAGTTAATAGTTAGGTTGTCATAAGCAGGTGGACTGCCCTGTATCGTTTCACTTAAAGGGAAATCAAGACAGTTAAGACTTAAAAATGAAAATCTTGACCACTTAATTAGAGCATTTATTTTAGAATAGTTATTGTGTACTGAAATACACTACCATCAAAAATTTTGGAATCACAAACTACCATGTAGTAGAAAAAATTAACACGTATAGATTTTTGCCAATTTTGAAAAATAACGTCTTTTCAGATCTATTATAATTTCTGAATTTAGGGAAAAAGACATAACACGTTTCAACAGTCTATCAAATTAAGAGTATCAAGCTAAGGTTGTCAAACTTTTTGAGGGGTGTGTACTTCACTTTATTTTGGCACATTCAGACACTACTTTCTGCAAATTTACTTATCCAGAATTACCTTCAGATTATTTGTTGTTGTTGTTATTACCTATTTGTTATTACCTATCATATCTGTATTTACATTTTTATGCCTTGTACATCTTGTATTAAAGTAGTTATGTAAATTATTAAATAAATATATGTATATAAAAATGTAACCTCAAATGTTAGTCTTTTCAAAATCATGTAGTTTTTCACTGAAGTTAGAATTTTTTGAATGATTTGTGCAAAAAATATAACCCCCCCCCCAATTTTAACTTCCTTTGTCAGGATAACAGGGCACTAACATGCAAAATGTCATGACCTGCCATTTGTTACAGACACCAACCATCGAACAAATGCCGAACACCATCCACAAATGGTTGGCACTTGATACAGAATAATGAGGAAACAAGGCATTTCCGTGATGTCACAACCTGGAGGCTTACAGTGAAAGTTTTGAAGTGAAAGTCCTTAAGTTCATTGCCATGGTAACCAATATAGCCCAAAATATGTATATCACACATTAACAGGTGATCACCTAATCTAATATGCCTTATTTCTCAAGTTATTTTTATGCAACAGAATGATGCTCAAGTGGTAACTTCCCATGAGGCATTATCATGGTAACACATACTTGTTTCATCTTTATAAGGGTCATTTGTATGAACTTCACTTTATATAACATGAAATTGTTCAGTTATAAATCATTATTCTTTGAATTGATACCAATTGTTACAAAATTAGATTTTAAATGTGTTAAAAACTCTTAATTTGGTGCCAACGTAACGAATATTGCCAAAAAAATATGATAGTAATAGTGTAAGAATTGTTACATACATTTACTGTAAAACATTTGTCACTAAAAAGATCATATCAATATGTCACCATTTCTTATTGGTGACATGAAAAGAACGAACAATTATTAACAGTTGTTTCATCTTTATTTACGAAAATAATCAAATTTTAGTATTCAACATAAACAATACAGCTTTATTCCCTTTTCTGGGACTCTGGCAATGCTATCTTAGTGACACATAATATCGTCGATTCATCACACATTGTAAACAAAAGTAGTTCTTAATCTGTTAATACAGTTGTGAACATGATTATTGGGTCATTCCAGAATTTTTCTGAGCATACCAATTTCCACCTTTTAAGGATTTATTTCATTTTGATGTGCGCAAATCAGCATTTTAAATCAGTTGCTGTTACAAAAGTGTTCTTTCTTTTTAACCCTATAGATGCATACAACAATGTAAAATTTAGGCTTCTGTGGTAATTTAATTCCTCAATTTAAGATTTCATGAAATAGCCATCAGAAAAAATACTTAAGCATGTTTTAGGTGTCTCAAAAACATTTCTTACATATCTCTGTTTATTATAAACTTTATATCTATTCAAATGAAACAATATAATATGAAAATATTCTGCAGATTTACAATACATCAAGTTGATAGAGCACCATTTATACATCCATACATTGAAATACCTTGTGACTTAAATAACCACAAAAATGTCAAGATTTTGGCAACATAAATTCAACATAAAACATACAGTAAAAACATGTCTTAGTGAACACCCCTGTCTCGTGAACACCTGTCCCTAGTGGACACCCATCCTCCGCACATACTCTACGGACTTCTGTATAAATTACACTCTCTGTATTGAACACCTACCTAAAGTGGACACATTTTTGTGGCTTCATAGGTGTCCACTGTACGCAAGATTTACTGTACATGCATTGAGGAAATATTATATAAAAACCTATATTTTATTCAGTTTCAGAAGTGTTTATACACTTATTTCACAAATATGCAATTATCAATTTTATGCTTGCATAAAGACAGTTGAGGATATATTTGCCAGGAGTGATACTTCCTTGTATACAACAAAAAATCATTTTCTATTTTTCAGCCATTTCATTTGAATACATTCCAACATGCTTTAATTTGATGTGAAAACATGTCATGCAAATATGAGCTAATTCTGCCACCAATTTAACTTTGGCAGTCTATGTATTGTATTTAATGTAATAATCTGAAAAAAGAAGGAAAAAAGCTAATTCTGATTCTTGATCTTGTTAAATCAAATTGGTAGCAAATAAAATTAATTTTCAGCCAAATAATGCAGGCCTCCAAGAGTTAAGCATCCAAACAGTCAAAGCAAAATGACTTTGAACACATTCCCGGTCCATTACATACGCTGACATCATTATGTTCCTCATTTCCGAGACACTTCCTCTTGCTCTTAAAAGTTTTAGTTTTCAGTCCAGATTTGCTGGTACATTCAGAGTCTTCCATATCACATTCGTACCCTGATGATTTGTACTTTTTACTAGAGCGACTTTGTTCTGAATCGCTACTCATACTAAATGCGCTCCGCCTCCTTTTAGGGGAGGAGCTATGAACAGTTCCCTCTAACATAGTCGATGTGAATTTAGGAGAGCCAATTATAGGTTTGCGATTTGGCTTCAATTTTCCCAAATGCGTATGCCTCTTAAAGTTTGTGGTATTCTTATTTGGATGTCTGCGACTTGATTTTTTCGATGTCCAAACATTTTCGATTGTAGCATTGCCCAAATATGGGTTCCATGTAGTTTCCCCAGTGTCAGAAGTAGCAAGAGTTTCCTCAGTTGACAAAAGAGTACATGTTTCACTTGTTTCAGATGTCTCAGTTTGGGTCTCACCTACATCAGTTGTAACGAGTGTTTCACTATCAGCCATAGAGTCCTCATCTTCGCTACTTGGAATAATAGTTCTTTTCGATATTTTTTGAGTTCTAGATCGATTGATTGATTCTTTTTTGTTCCTATCTCCTGTTTCACTTGTATTACTTTCATCGTCCTTATTGTCCAATTTCTCATCATTTTCCATGTTGTTATCATTTTCAATGTTGCCATCATTGTCATCATTTTCAATGTTGTCATCATCGTTGTCATTTTCAATGTTGTCATTTTCAATGTTGTCATCATCGTTGTCATTTTCAATGTTGTCATTTTCAATGTTGTCATCATCATTGTCATTTTCAATGTTGTCATTTTCAATGTTGTCATCATCGTCTATTTTGCCTTTATCAGCCTTTTCATGTTCCTCTTTTACTTGATCAAATATTTGTTTTTTACCTTGACCAACTTTATCTCTCATTAATCTTGTCAAGGGTTGAATTTTTACAATGTTTCTTTGAGATTTAATATTGTCTTTAGATGATGTGTTCTTTGTGTTTTTCTCCATAACATTAGATGCTGGATTTTTTCCTGGCATTTGTTTGAAAGCAACTGAAAGCTTTTTCCTGTTGTTTGGATTGTTTTCAGGCTGTTTATTACTAGATTGTTTGTTGCTAGGTAGTTTGTTGCTAGACTGTTTGTTGCCAGGTAGTTTGTTGCTAAGTGGTTTATTGCAGGGATGACTGTTACTAAATTGTGTACCAGGCTGTCTGTTGTCAGCCTGTTTATCATGAGGGTGATTCTTGTCATGACTATCAGGTTGTTCATTGCAATGGAGTTTGGATGCAGGCCCTTTGTTTCCAGGGTGCAGGTTGAAGTCTCGGTTACCATGGTGTTTGTTGTCTGGATATTTGAACAAATACTGTTTGCTTCCAGGCTGTTTGTTGTTAGGGTCTTGATTGCTACTATTTTTGTAACTAGGCTGTTTTTTGTCAGTATGTCTTAACTCATCCGGATTCTTAATACATTCTACAATCTTCCTGACTTTCTCCTTAGCACTGCCAAGCGTACTGTCATCGCTTACACAATACAATTTAGATGTCACCAATTTCTGGGCAGAGGGAGCTTCATTTGAGTCACCATAAACTTCTGTACCACTACCATCTTCAGACAACATCTCTTGCTCTTCATTTGCGTCAGGTTCAGCACATTGGTCATCGATGGAATTAATAAGTCTAAGGTCATAATGGTGTGGATTTGTTTTTATGGGTTTGGGGTTATGATCATTAGCTTTGGGGTGATTATCAATGGCTTTGGGGTGATAACTGATGCCTTTGGGGTGTTTGTCAATGGCCCTTCCGTTGTACTCAATATCACTGAGTTGTTTGTTTGAAACTTTTGTACATTTCTCAATAGCAGATATCATACTGATATTTAGTATAGGTGAACTTATTTTCTTTGGCGTGCTGATTCTATGATCCTTACGTAGCCCTACAGGATGTGGACTTTTGAACCTAACACCACCACTGTCTTCAGGAGAAGGGCTCTTATAGTTTCCAATTGGCTTATTTAGCATCTCTGGAGGGGTCAGCTTTTGCATCTTTTCAGCTAGGATCTCCAGGTAAACTTCATTAGTGTCTTGCTGTACCTGCTCACTACTCTGGTAACTCTCTTCCGAGTCAGGGTCAGAAATGGCGTCTTTAATAAATGGATCAGTTTTATTCATAGGTTTGGGACGAGCTGTTATGGTTTGATTTGGAGAAGTAAATTTTTGAGCTTTTGGATTTGGTGAGCCGTTTTTGTGAGCTGGTGTGTTAGGGTTGGTATCTATATGGCTTTGAGGTTCAATGGGAAGTTTTCTAGTCTTAGCTCTTGGCGAGTTGAAGAGCATTCTTGGAATACTTTTCTTGCTTTTTGTTTGGGCTACCTTCTCTAATGGTCCCGTTTTGTTAATAGATGATGTCATACCAGTAGATGATGTCACACTAGGAGATGATGTCACACCAGGATATGATGTTACAGCAACAGATGAAGTCATTCCAGCAGATGATGTCACACTAGGAGGTGATGTCATACCAGATTTCAATTTCATTAATGAAAACATTGTAGCTGGAGATTGTTTCAAAGTAAGAGAGGGATTCTGATATTTATGCTCTCGTGGAGTGACATTAGTTTTCTGATTGTTGATTGTATGAGATGTGTGATTGGAGGCTGGATTTTTGGAATTACCGGGAGTTTCAACAGTGGATTCATTGATGTATTGTTGAGTCCCATGGCCCACTTGTGAATGGCAAGGTTTTAGACAATTCCCTTGTGACTGTGACACTTTGTTACAATTCACTCGAGATGATGGGACATTTTGATGATTCCCTTGAAAATGGTGATGTTTTCCTGGCACCTGAGAGACAACTACATCATTGTCTTGAAATGACATTGGTTCAGTATTCTGATCTAAGCTGGGGTCACCAAAGTGGGACTCTTTATCTTGGATATGAGTCACTTCCATTGGATTTTCATCACTGGATTCATTACTTGAATGCCCCGCATCTACATCATTTGTATCAATGTATTGAGGATCAATTGGTTCATTAGCATCATGATGTTTTCTTTTTTCATTGTCATTGTTATCCTTGGAATTCACCTCCTGTTTCTCTTGTTTGTATTTGCTAACAAACATATTCCATTCCATAGGCACTTTCATAGGTTTTGGGGACACCATAAAGTCCATTAATTCATCATTGGTGAATCGGGAAACCCCTGCCTTGGAGGCACTTCTGGGGTGTTTGAGTCCTAATTCAGGCCCTCCTGGGGATTTCAGTACTCTAGGATTTGGTGTCAAAGGATTCTTGAATATACCCTGAGATATGAGGCTTCTTTTGGGGGCTTCTGCATTTGGAGTAACTTTTGATGGAGTTATAACATGCCTAGGGCTGGTACATATTTCTGTATGGTTTTCTTTACTAGAACCTGATGCATCGACAATAGTTTTTAGTCCATCTTGCTTATTTGGGGTTATATTCCTTGTGGTTACTTGTGATTTGGCAAAAGTCGTTTTGATGTCATTTATCATGCCAACTTTTGATTTTCTAAAAGGACTGACATGGATCCTTCTCAATGCTTTGTCTGGTTTCATTTTTGGACTATCATTCATTTTTGTTTTTTGAGCTACTTTTGTCCTTTGTTTAGCATCTATATCATCTTCAAAGAAATGTCGAGATCTGTTTGAATTTTCACGAGACTGACTGCTGTCAACATTAGGCAGATTTCTGCCATTTTGAGGTTGATAGCTGTTAATTTGAGGTTGATAGCTGCCATTTTGTGGTTGATTTCTGCCATTTCGAGGTTGATCTCTGCCATTTTGAGGTTGAACACTGTCAATTTGAGGTTGATTGTTAGTGTGTTGTCTTAGACTATTAACAGAAGTACTCTGGTGTCCATATTGAAGATAATGACTACCATCTGGATGTTCTTGAAAACTTTCATTAAGATGGCCAGTGTTATTTATAGCAGTTGAGTACATCGGGCACACATGTACAATGGTTGAGCTAGATGGGTAAACAGAATTTGGGCAACACCCCATTGGTTGCCCACTCAGGTGGTAGCTACTTGAGAACTGACTACCATCTTGGTATACAGGAAGTATATTCTGGTTGCTATGGTTACCACACAGACTGTCATTCCTGTACAAAATAGGAGGGATATGGTTGACATATGGAGCTTTACAAGTTAGGGAATTATTAAGTGTATGATCTTGGTGAATATCTTTATCACTGAAATCATCTTCATCGTGAATATTGTCATCATGAATGTAATCATCCTGAGGTTTTGGAGCCTCGATTTCCGAAATCCTAGTGCTCTCCAGGTGGTCATTTCCATGGGGTTGTTTACTTAGACAGTTCTTTGGGGTGAGGTTAGCCCCCCGGGGAGAAGCTGTGGGTCTCGCGTATGACTGTTTTATTGCACTGGGAATTATAAATGTAGAATTATTTGTGATGTGTTTAAATTTTTCGTCCAGGATCTTAGCTGTATTTGTATTCCTAGGCGCTTTTATTCTTGAAATATTGGTCTTTGTATCACCAGGGCATGACTTGATACCAGTGCGTGATTGTTTATTGTTACTTAAGATTTCTCTTCTTGTAGCACCAATATTTGAATGATCAATTTCATTGCTCTGCATGTGTATGTCTTTAGCCCTCCGTGCAGCGAAGGTATCAGGGGAGATCTTAATGTTCACTTTAGGGCTAGTATCTTCATCATTATAAATGGGGACTGAGTCGTCATTAGCCCCATCAGAGTCTTTCCTCCTCTTAGGATTAGACACCTGATGTGGAGCATTTTTACTGTCTATGTAATTACACTGGAGGGGGATAGCACCATGTGTGGATGTCAAGGACTTTATAGGACTTCGACGTCTCTGTCTTGAACGCGGAGTGTTCCGAGGGCTTGGAGTTTGTTGTTTTGAAACTCTGACTGGCAAGTTGGGTTTGGATCGATACTTCAGACTGTCTATGTAACCAGAGTCTGAATTGAGTCCTGCTTGGTCACTGTTCGTAGACTCTGTATGGTTTGCCACATCTGCAAATATTAAGTACGGTGATATAGACATTTGTGGTATTTTTGTAAAACATGTATTTGAGGATTACCAATTGAAGATTGAGTGAATACTCAAATGATTCACATTTACAGAATTAATCATATGGATGAGTATGGCATATCAAAAAAATATGGGAGTCATAAAATGAAGTACGAAATCATTCTTCATGAGCATCTGAGAATACAGGTAAATACACAAAACAACTGAGTGTGCAAGTTGTCTTAATATGAATAGTAGATTTGATTTGGACCACTATTCTTGATGGAACACAGACAGACCAACAGAAGTACACCTATCCGTTCCCATAGGAAAAAATTCCTTGGACTGAATCAGCAACTTCAATTTCATGGCAGGCCTGCAATTTTTATGTTCACTAAGATTTGGGTTTTTCTTTTTAGCTTTAGCAAAATTCCTATTGGTCGAATCAACAACTTCAATGTCACGGTTAGTCTGCACTTTTTACCTTCATTTGGATTTAGCTTTTTCCTAAATGGACTTGGCCTGATGGAAGAAAACTCTTCATCTCCGCTGCTACCATCATCTTCGGACACAACAGTCACAGAGTCTTCAGAGTCAATTGTCTCGGCATCACTAGATTCAACATCCGTGTCATCACGTCGCTCTGAAAATATAATACAATTGAAACATTAGGTGTTAACATTTTAGTCCAAATTTCACCACCCACAAGTGTTATAGACACCAATTCTGAAAACCAGTCAGAAAAAATACAATGGCTATGGATACCTGTTTAGTTTTGAAATTAGAAAGAAGTGCAACTTACTTTATGAACCAACCTTGTAGATACCAATTCTGAAGGCAAGTCAGAAAAAATACAATGGCTATGATACCTGTTCAAAGCAAGTTTAATTTTGATAAAAGGTTTCGGAACACGTCAAAAATCCTTTGTTATGAATTCTTTGTCAAAATGCTATGTTACGAAACTTTTCAAGGATTCAAAAATTCAACTTCCTTTAGTCAAATAACATACCTTGTATCATGCTGTAGACAGCAATGCTGGCTTGGTCCCCGTGAAATGAATATTCCTCACTCCCATCATCACTGTATCTCCCCATATCTTCATCATCACCATGCCAACCAGGCTAAAATAAAAGTTAAATAAAGATGTTATGTTTTAAATGTATTTCTAAATGTTTTCTCTGTGAAACAGTGCAGGAAACAAGGCAATAATATGACACAAGTTCCTCACAATATTATGAGTTCAAAGGTTAAGTCAGATTTGAATTTCTGACAACTTGTAGATGATTTTGAGAAAATAAATTGGTCAATTTGAAGCAAGTTGAAAAAAGACCTGTTTTGACCCTGAGAAGGTCATTGAAGTTGAAATCTCAAATCTAAAGTCAAATTTGAACTTCTGAGAAAAAAACTGGTCAAATTTTAAGCAAGATGAAAAAAGCCTCTTTGTGACCTTGAGAATGTCATTGAAGGTCAAATTTCTTTTGACCTTGAGAATGTCATTGAAGGTCAAATTTGCACTGTTGAGAACTTGTAGATGATTCTGCAAAAAAATCTAAAGTCAGATTTGAACTTCTGATAATTTGAAGATGAATTTGGAAAAAAGAAATTGCTCAATTTGAAGCAAGTTGAAAAATTACCCTTTTGACCTTGAAAAGGTCATTGAAGGTCAAATCTTAAATATAAAGTCAGATTTGAATTTCTGAAAACATGTAGATGATTCTGAAAAAAATTGAAGTCAGTCTAAACAGCATTTATTAACTTATTGGAAGTTGTAAGAATTTGTTACAGACGCTAACTGTCAACCACCAACCGCTGTCAAAAAAATGGAGACCATGACAATATGTCACCACTATTTGGTGGTGACATAATAAAGCAATTCTATGTATCAAGCCATTCTCCATGTCATCTTCAAATCATTTAGAAGTAGCAACTTTAAAGTAGTTGACAGTATACATCAATATTGCAATTTAGAAATTCTGCATGAAAAAGTCAAATTCTGGGCCAAATTCTGCATGAATTACAAAAATATGCGATAAATTCTGCAAGCAATGGCTTCATCTGAACTATCACAAAAATCAGGGAATTCAACTTTTGTGATATATTAGTCAAACAAGAACTGAACTCATAAGACTAAAAATCTCTAAAAGCTAGATGATGCATCTCTAGGTATGCTCTGCAAATTCCTTGTGTTCATGACAGGCAAAAAAGAGTTAAAAAATGAAGGAACATAAATTTTTAGGAACTTACCCCATGAATCAATCTCGTCTCTTCGAGCAACTGGTCTGTGTCTGAAAAATATGAGGAAATTGGTAATTATTTATAAAAGCTGGAGGTTTTACTCAGACAGACTGTGAAAGAAATTTCAGATTTATATATTTTTACTTAAAGAAGCTTTATACATTGTACATGGATTTTGACGAATTTTGTGCATTTTTGAAAATTGGCAAATGTAAATAGCATCAGGTCTAATGGGGTTTCTAAACTATTGGGGAGACATCCTCTGATCACAGGGCTTCAAAATCCAGAATACTTCTTTCTTTTTACCCCCTGCGATAAGCAGTTAGCATTTCCCCGATTCAGTTTAATCGGGTGCTTCCAAATTGGTTATTGCAGGGGGGAAGAAGGACGGAGGTATGTATTCCGAACACCTGCCTAGGAGGATGTTGGGGAGATTGGTAGAGCACATACTTACCGAGTCTAGAAGTCACTTTCAAAGGTGCTTTCCCAAACAATGTGGGCTTATGGTCTCTAACAAAACCTACAAGAAAAAATATTTCCATAATTCCATGTGCATATCAATATTACATGTTAATATAAACAGGGGTCTTTTTAGACTTTTAGACTGTGGGGCCACATAAATTGGCAAATTATTAGCTCCAACCACAACCTTTTACCAGCCTTTTTCAGGAAAATTCCGAATATGCACCCTGACCTTAACCGGTAGAAAGATATCCCGGAGCCGTGAGCAAACGGCATCACTTTGCCTTATTCTTCGGCCACAGTGTGGCCTTATGCTATCATCAAGCCCTGTTTGTTTTAGCGCTTTTTACGCTATCTCTCATAGACTGTTGCTATTAATGAATTAAAATCATATCTTTTTTCATAATTTTTTCTTCGGTAAAAATGGCCATTTTGTTTTTCGCTATAGCGAGATAAAGTTCAACCTTAAAAGATGTTTTAAGATTGGCAGATCGGGTGATTTTAGGTTCAGACGAAAGCATGCAATATCTTACAAAGGACAGTGTCTGTTTGAAGTCTAATTGATGAAATATTCTCATTAAGATTTTCAGAATATCATCTAAAAAAAATTTACTCCAGAATAAACATTTTCGCTAGTGGACGCTGGTCCACATACCATGTCTTCTAGCCAAGTAATTTGGCTAGAGACTCAAGTAAGTATCACTTACCCATGTCTTTCTCAATGATCAAGTTTTCCAAGTCAACGATGTCACTCTCAGGAAAGGCCTGGTCATACTGAAAAAACAAGACTTGAGATTAACACTCATTTGACGGAAAGTCAGTACAAATGCACTAAAATATGGTTTTTGGTGTCTAACTCGTGCCCCTTGAATTTTACCATATGGCCTTTTTTATAGTTTAGATTTTCTTTATTTCATGATAATTCAGGTAAAAAAATTATATGACAGTAGGGAGGTTAAGCAAGACGATTTTTATGACGTTAACCGAAAAAGTAAACCTATGCGTTCCCATTTACATTCTATGAACAAAAGTGCTTTAAGCTGATCACTTTAGAAACTGAGCTAATGTAGTGACTTTTTCTTTTGCTAGCAGCCTTTATAATAATCTGTTTTCTACTTTGATGACAAATTGATGAAAGTGTTTAACAAAGGAAATGTTTCACAGTCTGGCGGTGTTTTATGATTATTGAATCTTACAAAACATAACAGGACGCGATAAGATCTTATTGTTATGAAGACCTAAGGTTCATTTGATTGAAGAAACACAATATATATAGAAGATTTAGATGAGATGACATGTTGGCAATAATCTCATCAGATTTTACATATGAAATGGGCGCCTTGGTACTCAAATACACCTATTTGATAAGATTTGACACAAATGGTCTTGGTATACAGAATTGTGTCAAACATATTCAATCATGCATTCGACTTATATCATATTTATTTTGATTGAGCTTGATTAAGTTCTACAAATCCTTTACGGAACAACCTCCCTAGAATTGATTTTTTACGTTGCAATGAACGTAAACCGGGAAACAAGTAGAGCAATATGACATCACATCCTGAGAAAAACCTGCATGCGACTTCCAGTTCGCGGTTTACGTTGTAAAAAGTAGTCTTGCTTAACCTCCCTAGTAAGTTACGATAGAATCGTTGACTCAAGTTCGTATTCACTGAATGTCAAGTCATGAGTCAGCCTAAATTTTATAAAAAATGTTCAATTTTGATTTGAAGATTTTCCATTCAGGAACATTTAAATGATTAATGCTGCAAAATCTCAAGATGAACATACACTTACTTTGTCTATAATTGCATTAAAATTAGTCTTGAATCTTTGTAAATTTTGTATTCTATGCCGACTAAACTTTTCAAGATTTTCCGCCATGACACTTGTTGTTTTAGGTATTACTCCACTAAATGTAATATATAAAAAATATAAAACCTCCTCCCTCGTTCCCAGTTCATCCCAGTGACCAATGAGAAGGGAGATTTTCCAGACTAATACCTTTATACCAATAGTTCTGGAAGAATGATGTTTCCTATATGATCCAGATCTTTTTGTGTTGTTGTGTCTTACTAATTAAGTGGGGGGGGGGTAGTTGTTAGAGGTAGACAGTATTTTAATTGTACATACTGCCATTTTAGATTTTTAGCTTGGATGACTTCCAAAACTAAACTAATTGTGTTGCTCTATGAAGAGCTTTAATTAGTATAATGATAGATGTAGATGTAGATAATGCTCACTGGACATGGGTTTAGAGAATCAGCTATGGTAGTGGTACAACTGGCTTGATAGATGTCTGTCTATTTCATTCTTGAACTGGTTGATACTTTCCACATCAATGGCAGACTGGGGTAAACTGTTCCAGGTATTAACAATTCTGTTGCCAAGGACATTTTTTCTCACATCAAGTCTGCTGTATCTATGATTTAATTTTTCTGTGTTTCCTCTTGTCCTGGTATTATCTGATTTCTGGGCGATGTCACTGATTTGTATTCGGTCGTAACCTTTGAGATCACCCCTTATTCTTCTATACAGTAAAGAGGGGAGTTTTAGTTGTCTCATTCTATCTTCATAGCTTAAATCTTTCAATGGTGGTACTAGTTTTGTTGCTCTTCTTTGTACTCTTTCAATTTTGTCAATATCCATATAGGTGCGGGGGATCCAGACACTGTTTCCATATTCAAGGTGAGGCCAGACTATGGATTTATATAGGAGTGGTAAGGCGGTTCTATCAAGATGGGAGAAAGTTATTTTTATTGTCCAAAGAATACTGTTGGCTTTGGATACTTGTTTATCGACATGTTGGTGGAACTTGAGTTTGCAGTCAATATTGATTCCAAGGTCCTTTTCCAATGTTGTTTGCTCCAAAGTTTTGTTGTTCATGGTGAAGTTTTGTTTCTCATTGTTGGTACCTAGATGCATCACCTTACATTTATCTGTATTGAAAGGGAGTTGCCATTCTTTTGACCAATTTGTTAAACTGTCCAGATCTGTTTGTAACTGTTCTTTATCTTCTTGGTCTTTAACTTTACCATACAGTTTGGCGTCATCTGCATACATAAGAAGCTTGTTCCGTGTGGCATCTGGGAGGTCATTAATAAACATTGCAAATAGGGATGGTCCAAGGCAGGTCCCTTGAGGGATACCTGAGAGAACAGGGGTCCACTCAGATGTCGTTCCATTCACTGATACTCTCTGGAGTCTATTAGTTAGAAAATATCTGATCCAGACAAGTACAGAGCCCGATATTCCATAAGATTTCAATTTTATGAGCAGACATTCATGCGGGACACTGTCGAACGCTCTGCTAATGTCAAATGCAAGAAAAGATATTTAATTTTTCATGATTATATAACATTGCTTCTATGGGGGATCTACTTGACCAATGAGGGTGAGTTTTTAAGTGAAAGGTATACTACATGTACTCTGCCTTGGACTGCGTTACATGAATACTTCAAAATGAACTCTTCCTTTTTGTTATATTTTCTTTCATGGTTTTCTTAGTGTTTTTATGAAATATAACATGCTTCGTCACAGCGGACAAATCTTTCAATACCAGCCTGTGTTAGAAAAAAATAACAAAGAGACAGGGACTATGAATAAAACATATGAGATGGCGACTCCAAAACTTAAATACAGGATTGCATAACTACATACTTTAAAGTCTACATTCAATTACACAATAAGTGGTAGTGCTAGAGCAATATCAGTGGTAGAACAATTGCCCGGCAAGCGAGGGGTCATAGGTTTGATTCGCACTGAGGTTGACTGACTTTTTCACACATCATGAATAGAATGATTGACAACCTGGAAAGACAGGTAACTTATATGGGGTCCAGCAGGAAACTGGGCATGTGAGACATGGCTGCAATGCTATATGCAATGATGATGTGGAAAAGCCAGTCGGTCCGGCTTGGTATAAAAAACCTCCTTCCTCATACACACCTACCCATGTACGTGGGGCATGACACAGTCTTTGAAGGGTTAAATTTAGTTTATTAAATCTTAGTTTATGATGAATTATAGATGCATTTGTAACGACCCTTGACAGTAAGTTGCTACTACATCCGTCCCAGCTTGGTTCGATTCCCACTCGAGACACTGAATTTAGCACACTTTCTTTCAAAATCTTTATCTTTCAATTTCTTTATTTGATCTTCATAGTATTTCCAATGGATTTTAAGTACCTGATATTTCATTTGACACCAAAACAGCTCAAACAGATCATATCAGAGTTGACACTAGATAATGAAAAAATATATTTGATCTATTAATTTATACATTTCAAGTTTTTAGCAATACCACTGAAAGATGGCATTGTTGTTTGCATCAATTATCCATTCATTTTTGATTTGATTTTCAACCATGCGCCATCTTTTAATCCAAGAGATATATAAAACATACACTTTGTGAAAAGTGGTAATTCACTTCTTTTGATCTCTGAACTTCGAATGCTGTTTTCTATGCAAGTAAATATTTTTTCACTTCAGTATTGACCCAAATTAAAGTTTTTATCATATTTGATTGAGTGTGTGAGTAACATGTCTTTTTCCTTCAAAAATAAGCGCATTGCCTGTTTAATAGTGAATTAAGACATAAATAAGACAGTGGATAAATTATTACATAGATTATTTGTACCAGTTTTTACTAGTTCTTGCATCGTGTCCATATTAATTTCGAAAATTGTCCCCTTGCTTTTAAAGGCATTTCGAGTTTTTATTTGGCGGTGTGATACCATTTTAGAAAAGGGTGTCGCAATACTTACTCACTTTCGACAAATAGGTCATGGCGACTTTGATCCAGAAGTTTTCTGCTCTCGCTTCAAGTAAGTTTTTCTGCAGTTATACTATGTTTATTGACTTAATTGTAACCAAATAATGTAGAGTAGTTATTGTTTCAAAATAAGATTCAAGAAATAGCCTTAGCTGTTTCGTCATATGTGAAATTTTGAAGAAAATACATAAAACCAAAATGTTACGAAATTTAATTTTTTTTTCCAAAATCACCTCAAATATTTTTACGTGCATTTTTACATGGAATTTATTTACCTTGTCAATTAAATTGGTATAGAACAGCATTAGTCCACCTACTGGCGTCATTGGATTATCTTATCGTATCCTACCGACCACTTTAGATTGTGGTTGTACGCCCGTACTATTAGTAAGCCTGTCTTTCTACAATGTCGGAGAATGAACTACGCATTGCACTATTAAATGACCTACCTCGATACATTCCAGAGTGTTTTAGAATTCTTTTTATGTTGTAAGATCGCCAATTGTATGGGTTTATCGGCAGAACGAAAAGATTTTAGTTTTTACATTGGAAATATATCAGCAATTTTCAAAATGTCGGAAGCGGAATTCCCCAGGGATTTCCCTTATGACTGGTGCATGCCGGGAACTGAATGGAGGAATTTTACGGTTGAAATAAGTTAAATATTACAGCCAGTTACTAATATCAGACAATATTAATAGCGACATTTCGTCCAGTTTTCGAATATCGCCATTTTTGTTGGAGCCGTTTATTTTAATTTTAGACAAAATCATGCAATATCTCATCAAGAATTGGCTAGAAACTCAAGTAAATCAATCTACTCTGAAAAAAAGTTATTTGTTGGTCTGACACCAGGAAAGCACTGGAACCGATAGTAGAATATTGTAATTGAGCTGACTGAAATACACCCCCCCCCCCCAGTCTCTGTATTCCAAGAAAAAAGAGTGACCTGACACATATCTATTTTAAATCAGTCTTTTGCATTGATGCCAGCGATGAATCAATATTACTTAAAAGCTTTAAATAGGCAGACTAAGGCTTCTATCCCTTCTATTAGAAGCACTTGCTGGCATGTGCTGCATATGAAAAATGAATGATTGGATGTTCATATTATTTTCAGTGTTCATTTATTTAGGGGGTTGTTATTTTCATTTGTAATATATATCCATAATTCAGGTTTGGCAAATGCAGTCTTTAAGAAGAGTTTAGCCAAGACTATATGGTGTCTGTGTGAGATATGTAACTTATATGAAAATGAAATTATCTATCTATTCCAGGTGGGCGTAGCATCTACTGTGCGAGATGCATGTCGACAAAGGCAAAAATTACAACTCATTATAGTGTCATACCCAGAGAAACAGACCCAAGATGGAAAGGTGAGCCAATTGTATTCAATTTGTATTTGAATACAATAAAACAATATACAATAAATACATACATTGAATACAATTTGTATTTGAATACAATAAAACAATATACAATAAATACATATATTGAATACAATTTGTATTTGAATACAATAACAGTGTGGAATCACAATATAGAATGTAGGGTAAGGGGATATATAATTGATAGGGTTGATCATAGGGATAGTGATAAGGATCAGGCGTGTAGCCAGCTTTTGCCAAGGGAGTTCACTTTTTAAAAAATTTCAGGGGAAGTTGACATATGTTTATTTTGGCCCAAAAATGGACAAACCACTTGAAAAGTGCTCAGAATGGTGAAAAACTACATGATTTCGAAAGAATTTTTGGCCCAACCCTCCTCCCCCTGGCTACGGGTCTCAGCGAGTGCAAAGCTAATGTTGAAAACATGATTGCCACAATTGCAATCAATGATTGCCAATAGCAACATGTTTTTCTGAGTTCATTGCTAAAGGCAAAAATGATTTCTATTGGCAATTAGCAGCTGTGGGTTTCAAACCTTGTCATAACATAATGGGATATTAATTGAAAACAAGAGTCATATAGACTCCGGAAAATCAAATGCAGTGAACAATGGGAGATGCAGGGTTCTCACTAGGCTTTTGGACTCCGGAGATTCTCCGGAGTCTATACGTGTTTTTTCCGAAATCTAACTTTATAGGCCTATTGACTTTTACATCGGCTTTTCCGGAGTCTAAAGTGTTTTTTCTGGAGTCTTATTTTACATTTTTTTAGAAATGTCTATTATGATGAAGATAGGAAGATAATCTTAAATAGGATTTTGAAAAGTATACTACTGTAATTGGATATCACTGATCTCACATGGGGGAGTAATAGTTGCGATACTGCTAAAAATCTGGGGTCTAAAAATTTCCTGGTGAGAACCCTGGGAGATGGTTGAAGAATTCTTGAACTCTCCGTGCTACAATCATAATTTCCATTATTTCTACCTGTTGTTTATGAAACCTGTTAAGCTAAGGTTAAACATCTTATCTATCTCTTATCTTGATTTATATATATTATGAATTATATCTTATCCCATAGTTGAGGTCAAATCTGTATGATAGCATATAGATATATTTATGATACAGTATTTTGCAAATGTGTGGAAAAGGGATATCTGTAGAATACGAAGAATATTCCACATATATCACCACGGATTTGAAAACTCTCACCAAAGTGATGCATTACATGGTGATATCATAACGTCTTGTGTAGGAACAATGTCTAATACCCCCTCCCCCATCATTCAGGAAAAATCTTCACATTCCAAGACCTCAAGACCATTGGAAAGTCTTTTAAAGGGTGAATCAGATCTAGCGAGCAAGGTTAACAAATACTTGTTTCAAGTTTAGAACATTTTTGACTCACCTTATTTCTCGTCTTGTCTATTTTCTAAAAAACCCAAAGTACATAAAGATTTTTACAATAAGGTATTATTTTTCTATCTTTATGGTTACCTTTTTTGTTATTTGAAGAAAGCAGCCACCTGGAGAAATTTTTAAGACTTGCAAAATTGCACCCAGTTAAAGAAATTTGGGGAGAACACTGTATTTAATACATTCAATTGAATCTTAACATTGCAACCATTGTACAGAACTTTGTTACGTTTACAGATATTGAGATGGAAAGATACGCAGATGAAGCCGATGTTGTGATAGTTGGTGGGGGTCCATCTGGTCTCTCAGCCGCATGTCGTCTCAAACAATTAGCCAACGAACAGGGCAAGGAAGTCAGAGTTTGCCTGGTAGAAAAGGCTGCAGAAATAGGAGGACATATACTCTCAGGAGCCTGTATAGAACCAAGAGCCCTCAATGAGCTGTTTCCTGATTGGAAAGAAATGGGGGTACGTGCCATTATATTACAAATCAGAGCTTTATAATCATTGAGTTTGTATCTAGCTATAAAGTCAACTTATAAAGGCAAATTCTGAGGTGTTTGTAGTTTAAAAAGAAATGTTTCAAAAGCTCTTCAATACAATGTAAAAAAGACAAGCTCGATCAAAGTGAAAAAATCCAATGTATTCTAATTGAGAAATATGATAAAGATTCAAACATTGTCAGGCTTTGATATGCTATTCAAGGCAATGAATACTTTGTACAGTAAAAACACCTGGATTCACAAAAAAGTGTTTACTGACAGTCTGAAGGTAGATGTTCACAACAGAGAGGGGATTTCAAACAGGAGTCAATTTAGAATGTGTCTTGAAGTGGTGTTCACTAAGCACAGGTCTTCACTTGAGAAAAGTGTTCACAAGAGAGAGGTTCTTATAATTTCTTTTTTTTCAGGCTCCACTCAAAACTGAAGTAACTCAGGACAAGTTCAGTATATTAACACAAAACAAAGCAATACCAGTGCCAATCAGCATGATTCCAGGTAAAATTGACGTTTGGTTAATTTTGTGACTTGGTAATTCATTGTTTGAAAAGCCACTTTGAGCAGGAACCAATTTTTGAATCTAGAATCTAGAACCTAGTTTAATTTCAGTCTCTTTGCATATATAATTTCATGTTATTTTGCCAGGATTTAAAATAATGTACAGTATTGAACATCAGTGGACTTAAAACCTATTTTCGCTATGTTTTTCAGCATTCCCCATGGCTAACCATGGCAACTATATAGTACGATTAGGCAATTTTGTACGCTGGCTTGGGGAGCAGGCTGAAGCTCTAGGAGTGGAAATATTTCCAGGATTTGCTGCCAGTGAGGTATAACACAATTACAATTACAGCAAAAGTGCTTCAAAAACACAGAAGTCAGACATTAGTAAAGAAAAAATTATCTCACAGTGCAATTACTACATTCTTGTTATGACTTATCTAATTGAAACATGAAATATTTATTCAAACATGAAATATTTATTTTCATTATGAACTCCTGATTGGTTATTTCATGTTCATTCCTGATTGGTCAATTCAGGGTAACATGTTTCTGAAATACTGAACTACTTTTTCTGTTTTCCTCATTTTAACAACTTTAACAACAAAATGAATCAAAATACAAATTAATGTCAATATTTCATGGTTTTTCTCAATTATATATGGCTTTTCAAGTAGGTGTTAGTTTCAAAATCCTGATGAGGTGCAGTGCTGACACATGCCTCGATGCTGCTGGGAGTTATTTGATACATGTATATGACTGTGATATGATGTGCTTACAGGTACTATACCATGAAGATGGCAGTGTAAAAGGAGTAGCTACCAATGATGTTGGTATACACAAGGATGGGGCTCCTAAGGTAATTATAGAGTTCCATGCAATGACTGAACCTAGGTTTGCAATAGACCCTAATGGTCCCCCTCCACCATCTAATTCCATTTGCTTTTAAGTTTTGACAAAATATGACTGAATTTTCATATTTGTGAACATTTGAACAATCTGCCCAATTTCCTACTGAAATAGTTTTCTTCTACAAAACCGTTCTAAATTAAAAACTTTTTTTTCAAAGTGTTTGATTGTAAAATTATATGATTTTATATTCAGTCTGTTGATACCATATATTCCAGGACACAATCGAAAGAGGAATGGATATATAGATATGATTTTATATTCAGTATGTTGATACCATACATTCCAGGACACATTCGAAAGAGGAATGGAACTCCACGCAAAAGTAACAATATTCTCTGAAGGTTGCCATGGACATTTAGCTAAACCTCTTATTAAGAAATTTGACCTTCGAGCAGGAAAAGAGCCTCAAACTTACGGTATAGGGATGAAGGAATTATGGGAAATTGATCCGGCGAAACACGAACCAGGGAAAATTCTACACACAGTTGGCTGGCCATTTGTAAGTTTGCTTTGAAGTTTTAAATCGTGTGCTGGTAAGTTTACCCACAAACTGTCATTTTCCTGGTGTATGCTGCCTAGTATTCTTGTCCACAACATTGCAAAATAATAGCCAGCGAGTGCAAATCAAGTTTAAAATGGTCCACATATACAACATGTATTACAAAGTTGATTGACTTGGAGATGGGGTAAATCCAATGATTCTTTATGGAAAAAAATTTAACACAGAATAAGGATTTATTCTGAAAATAACAATTATTATGAAATCAATTTGATTCTGAGATTGTTTTTATCGTACCTAACAAGAGGTACGATATTGTAGTCAGCTTGACGGGCGGCGGGCGGCGTCTCACTTTTCAGCTTGTCTACAGGTTTCCAGCCAAACCATTTGAAGGATTCATCTGAAATTTTCAGGGATGTTTCTACATATCAACGTCAAGAACTGATTAGTTTTTGGGCATTCTGGGTAAATGTTAAGGCTGCCATTTTAGATTTTCCGTCCTAAAATCTTGTCTATCGAGGCTTGTCTACAGGTTTCCCGCCACACCGTTCAAATTTTTACATATGTTACACAGTGATAAGTTCTAGAGCTGATTAACTTTTCTGCGGCCATCTTGCTTTCTTGGTCAACAAGACCACAATGCTGTGTTTTAGGTACGATATTGTTCACGTCTGTGCCTTGTTATTTTCTACCTGTATTTGTGTATATTTTCAGTCTACTCAGTATATATTTTCAGCCTTTAATTTGATATATTTTCAGCCTTTCGTTTGATATATTTTCAGGATAAGTCAACATATGGAGGTACATTCATGTATCATCTAGATGAAGGTCCATTGGTTGTATGTGGAATGGTGGTAAGTACAATTAGCAGTTTAAAATATAGAAAACCCTTTGAAAACCTTTGCACAAAAAATTTCCACTTAGAGTTTTACAGCATCAACCTTGGAAATCAGAACTAAATATCCCTTGTGTTTGAAATCTTAATTTTGTTATTCGAGTGTCTGTCCAAGGCTTATATTTTTGTAAAACATTTTAGTTCTCCACATTAGCTTGCATTTTGAGCCTTTGCATTCTCCCACTTGTCCATCTGTCTGTCGATTCGTCCATCAACAATTCTCACATCTGTCCCTGACTTGGAACCAAATTTTTAACCAGTTCTTCAGTAGTTCCAAAAGTATGTTTTCATAATTTTTGAGTATATATTTCTGTTTACATAGGTTGGCTTAGATTACAAGAATCCCTGGATTAGTCCATTCCGTGAGTTCCAACGTTGGAAGCATCATCCTGCCATAGAACCAATCTTCCAAGGGGGCCAAAGGCTTGGCTATGGTGCCAGAGCCCTAAACGAAGGAGGGATGCAGGTAGAAAAACAACACATTTTTATAATTTGACATCCTTGACATGATGGACCATTGTCCTGCAAATAAAACATAATTTGTATGGGTATTTAGATATTGTACAAAACCACTATTTATTCCTTTAGTTTGCTATGTCGATTCAGATATTCTTTTACTTAATTAAAATCCTCTTCAACTGAAGTATATAATATATTTCCCATATCCTATCCATAGTATGAGGTAACTTTATAACCATTTTTTCAGTCTCTACCAAAGCTTACCTTCCCAGGGGGCTGTCTAACAGGATGTGATGCAGGATTCATGAATGTACCTAAGATCAAAGGTAATGGTATAATGTTTTCATGGTGTTAGTCTATAAACTTAAAATCTGCATGATGATAATTTAAATGTTATTTTTAAGGTTATCATTAGTAATACTTGATAAATGGAAAATATTTTCACATTTTTATGTGAATATTTACACATTAGCCTATTGAAGTATACATTTTTCAAAGTAAAAATATTTTGAGTAAATGTTGATATTTTGAGGTGTTCAAGTTAAACAGGTTACTGTATCATTGAGGACATATGATTTGCTGCCACATACACAGACAAATATTTTTACTTGTTAGTTAATTTATTTACTTTGTCTTAGGAACACATGGTGCAATGAAGAGTGGTATGGTGGCTGCTGAATCTGTCTTTGAGACCTTGATGAATGAAGATCTACAATCTCCAACAGTAGGTAAGTTGTACAGGGAGAATCAAGGTTATAAGGCAACATTATATTTTATGGTCTCAGTCTAATGTTATGGTTGCCTCGTATTTGTAATGGTATGCTATGCTATGAAAGCCCAAATTTTCGCTGACAAAAAATGTCACTATTTTATCAATCTGGAATGTTTCATGGGCATTGAATTTCAATGTTTGAAGAAATATCCAATTGTTAAATCAAATATTCACCGTGCCTTTGATTTCACTATTATGCGAAATTATTTTGTGTTGAAATACAAACAGACTCCATTCATGTAAAATTGAAATCAAATTTCAACCTGAAAGTATTAATTTCATATTTAGCACAATGTTATTCAGTAAGAAATAATTACCACAAACACTTTTCTGAGGCAAGTGTTCATTTTGGCAATTTTTTTAACATGGAAGTCTGCGGTAGATTAAAAAATTTGACCTTAAAAAGCATTCACACTGAGAAATGTACAGATTAGAGAGGTGTTCAGATGTGTGTGTTTCACTGTACTATAGCGTGGGCCAAAAAACAGTACCAACGTTCAAAGATGAATTAATATCATATGTTAAACCATGCCATGTATAATGATCATATATCATTTTAAAGATTTTCCTAACAATATGACACCATCCAATTCCTATTTCAGGACTAGAACCATCTATATTAGAAGAGAAAATACGAGATTGTTGGCTGTGGGATGAACTGCATTCTGTACGTAATGTACGTCCATCATTCAACACTAGTCTAGGTATGTATGAACACAGCTAATCTCCAACAGTGCCATACAGTGTTGTTTTAGCATGAACACTGTATGGCACCATACTCTTAATGTAAACATAGAGGATATCCTATGATTTATGAGTGATATGATTTTTATCCACGAATGGATATATCACTATCCATGAGTGGATTAAAATCATATCACGAGTAAATCATAGGATGTTCTTTTTATTCCATAGTTAAAGTCATCATCAGAATCGTCGAAAATTAAGTGATTTAAATCAAATTTTCAAAACGATCCGGCAATATTGACACTTAGCCTCGTTTTGAGTCTGAAGTAGCAAAAATCCATAATTCATAGCATACGGCCCCGTATGTCATGGCTAAAACACCGTAAGCTATGGTTAAGTGAAATTTTGTCAAAAATATCATATTTTACCACTGATTACAAAAATACCGTTTTTTTTTACATGTTATCCTATGAATATCATGCTAACTATGGAATAAACTACAGTACTACATGTAGTACCTGGATTTTAGAGTGCAGATTGGGGGTGTATGTCAATCCAGCATTCATGTGCCTTTTTGCATTATCAGTTTCATCAACAATTCAGTGAAAAATATTTATAAAGTTGCTTGATTATAAACATTTTTTTCTCAGTATTCTGATTAATTAAGTCTAGATTGAATGATATCCCTCCAACTCAATGAGTGCACATGAAGCTCTCTTTTAAGATGCAAAATCATGTCATTGGAAAAAGTACCTTATCTTCATGTATGAAAAATAGATGTATGATTTTATTATGTGCCTTCAACTCTTGTGGATGGCAATCAGTGTTTGGATGTCGATGTTTGGCAATAATTGTCTATAACAAATGGCAGGTGGTGACATTTTGCATGTTTATGCCTTTTTTAAATTGTAATTTTTTCATTATTTCACCACAGGTTTATATGGTGGTTTGCTTTATACTGGCACTATATGGTATGCCCTTAGAGGAAAAGAGCCCTGGACATTTAGCCATGGAGGTGAGTGGAGCTTTTTGCTCCAGGGAGCATGTACATTAATTGCTCCAGGGAGCATGTACATTAATTGCTCCAGGGAGCATGTACATTAATTGCTCCAGGGAGCATGTACATTAATTGCTCCAGGGAGCATGTACATTAATTGCTCTAGGGAGCATGTACATTAATTGCTCTAGGGAGCATGTACATTAATTGCTCCTGCAATGTGTTTACAAATAAATGTAGATTCGAAAGTTAGATTATAGATCAGTTAAAGCAATGCACATGTAAATCACACTTAAAAATCTCTCTTTTAAGCTCACTTAAAAATGATACCTCTATTTAAATTTTTTTTTAAATTTATTTCAATAGAATACAAAAAAATATGTAAATACACAGACATGTGAATTCTTAAATTGCCACAATGGCATTATATCTATTTAAATTGAATTTGATCAAATCTTATGCCAGTATGTATGTATATAGAGATATAGATATGCTATGTATTAAACTCTCTTTAGTTGTTCACATTGATAAGAACAATTACCTGATATTCAAACTACTTGTAAAAAATGTGAATTTTTTTATTTAAGGTGCGGATCACACCAAACTAAAGCCAGCATCTGAGTTTAAACAAATTGAATACCCTAAACCTGATGGCCAGATCAGCTTTGACCTCTTGACCTCTGTCGCTCTGACGGGGACCAATCACGACCATGACCAACCTGCCCATTTGACCCTGTTGAATGACGATGTCCCCGTGGAACACAACCTTGCACTCTTTGAAGGCCCTGAAGCTAGATTTTGTCCCGCAGGTAGTTAAGACAACATTATTTAGTAAAGCTTGTGTATATGTAACGATTGTAATGCCAACTCTCATAGAAGTCATGGTCTATATCATTATATTTCCTGAAGTAGATTGTGAATTTGTTACTTCATGTCAAATCAGAGTCATGAAAGTTGTTATTGCAGAGGTATGTAAAATCTTTAGGCAATTTCACTGGTGATCCACTCGATTACGCTGGTTACCAAAACGAACCGTTTTGGTAACAAAATGTCGGAACGTCGAAGGCACGATTTTTCTTTTTTCCTTATTTCACGCGTTGTAGGCAGAATCCCCACGACGTTTTTTCTCACAACGTGCATCAGTATCATATGTTTTAGAAAATGTACATGTTTGCGATAAAATAGCTCAGAGGACAACAGAATCGTCGATTTACTTCCTCACTTAAGTTACATAAACGGTTTTTCGAAAAACAGTTAAGATCTGCACTTTTAACCCAAACCGTTTATGTAACTTAAGTGAGGAAGTAAATCGACGATTCTGTTGTCTTCTGAACTATTTGTTCGCAAATATGTACACTTTCTTAAACATATGATACTGATACACGTTTGTGTTAAAAAATGTCGTGGGAATTCTGCCTACAAGTGTAAAATAAGGAAACGAGAAAAATCGTACCTTCCGGATGTTCCGACATTTTGTTACCAAAACGGTTCGTTTTGGTAACCAGCGTAATCGAGTGGATCACCAGTGAATTTATTAGCATGCTGTTGTTAAATGTGCCTATTAAAATATCAATTTTAAAACTCTTGAATCAAAGGTCATAGTATTTAGTAAAAACTTTAAGAATGATTGACATTTTTGCCTGTCATCCCTTTTGATTGGCTGATCAATTTGATCATCTTATACATACTATTAATCCATGTTCGAAAAACATTTTTTCTTTTTCCAGGTGTCTATGAATATGTAGAAAATGAAGATGGAAATGGCAGAAAATTAGTGATAAATGCTCAAAATTGCATCCATTGTAAAACATGTGATATAAAAGATCCTAGCCAGAATATAAACTGGGTTTGCCCACAAGGCGGAGAGGGACCAGCTTATAATGGAATGTAATGTTAGTGTCATTTAGGATTTTCCAATCTCAATTAAGAGCCACCAATGAAAAATTCAGGGTTTGTTGAATGCCATTTCGTCTTGTGAATAGATTTTGAAAATGCAGAATAATTCCACAATAAAAGTTATCGCCTACAGAGTGACCCAAAAAACAGTACGCTCCAAAAATTAAATAATTTCTTTAATATTATATTACATATGCAATCAGCCTCATTTTTCATGTACAGTATTGTATATTACATGAATGAACCTGTATATATTAATTTTTAATTTTGGAGATTGAGTCTTGTTTGAAATAGAGGAAGAGAATGGATTTGGTGATGATCATACAAAATTAAGAATCAAAGATTCTGCTGCAATCCAAAATATGGGTTGTTCAATTTGGAAGGGGTGTGACATAATGTGATATCCAAAAGCATGCCATTCTATCTTTTATAATTGAGTGCTATTTTGAGGTGTTTGGAAATCTCGAACCTGACATTAGTAGAATTGTGCTCTGAATAGCAGCTTCGTTAACAATGCAAATATAAAGCAATTATAAACTGTTGTTTTATTTAATATTCTTGTATGTACATGTATACAGTGAATATACCCTGTGCTTATGCTGCAGTGATGAAAGTAGAGTGAAATCTGTTTAGTGAACACGCCCGTAGCCAGGATTTGCCAAGGGGGGTTCACTTTTTGAAAAATCCCAGGTGGTCACTTGTGACAATTTTGGTCCAAAATCACTAAAAAGTGCTCAGAATGGTGAAAAAATGCATGATTTTAAAATATTTTTTTGGCCAGGGGGGGTTTGAACCCATCAAACTCCCCTCCTGGCTATGGGCCTGGTGAACACCAGTCAAGGGCATAGCATGGAGTTAAAATAGTCATATCATTGAATTGTTCAGTTAGACAGGTTTTACTGTACTTTAGTATACACAATCATATGCTGATAATCAAAATAGTTAACTTTAGACATCGTTGGCATCTCAATGTGTTTTGAGTTCAAAGGTAGAGGATGATGTTAGTGTAGATTTAGTCCTATTTAAGCTTATTTAAAGTGGCAGAAAAGAAGAGAGACTTTGAAGTATTGAAAGCAATCTTCAATAAGCAAGCCACTATTCTCTGAAACAATACTGAGTCTTAACTGCGCCTTGCTCTTACCAACAGCCAAAGTATATTTGTACTTGACTGCCCATGGTGACAATTCTCGCAGAATTTTGTGCAAAAATGCATCTTTGACAATATTTATCAGTCACATAATTAGTGATTTGAAATGTGTGAAAGGGTCCACCTTTATGATATAAACCACAATCGAACATCACATAGTATGTTAATCAAAGTGATAGAATAGTAAAAAAAAAAGCGTTAAGCAAAAGTGGACCATCTGTACAAGTAATACAAAATATGATACACACTGATAGAAGTCTCATACTATGCATTTATACACTCCCCTCCAAAAGTTTGGTATCACAGGCTCCCTTTGGGACAGTCTGTAAAAATCTGTTCATGTCATTCAATGTATTGAGTTTTTTACAGTAGTTTGGACATGTATGACAGATTTTGAAAATTGTAAACAGGCATCATCACACTGTCAGAAAGATGACTTTTTCCAAACTTTTTAGGGGTTGTATATTTTTAAGTGTGTGGTATATGTATGTTGTGAATTGTTCCTAAGGTGAAAATTATTAGGAAATTGTATAAAAATTTGTAAATTTTGTAAAATCATATTATAAGCTGTTGTAAATTATAATCATACACATGTTCATATGTCATGTCTTTTCAAGTGTCAGTGTCATCTGTCAAGGTGTCAAATGTGTTTGTTATTAACCCATGACATCAAAACAATGACATATGGATCTTGATTTCAACTATGTATATAAATAAACTTGTATTGTAATATATATTATTAGATTTTATCAATTGACAAATAAAGCTAAAGTGAAGATAATTATTAAATGAGAGTTTTTTTTAATATTTGTATGGATCGGTCAAGGATTGGATCACGGGGTTCCAACCTGGTATCTTTATTAATCTCCAAGCAATTTGTTCAGTGCTGTTTTTAGCACAAAGAATGCACACTTGAACTGCAAGGAGAAAGGAATGATATTCTAGCGATATCAACGACAACAATGAAAATGTCGTTATTGTCTGACATTACAACCTAAACTACAGTAACTGAGATTACATCATGTTTTCCGAACTATATGATCAGTAAATGAAAATGGACTCTCAGTCTGTAACTTCCATACCTACCTTAATCTGCCAGATTATTCGCTTACTCAGCCAGATTACTCGCTTACTCAGCCAGATTACTCGCTTTCTCAGCCTGATTACTGTTTACTCAGCCAACCTTATTATTGTCTCATAAATCACAACTAACCAACAATTTCTACAATAACATACAATTTATTTTCCATTCCAAAATAAACCTGAACTATACATGTAATGTGAACATCAACAATCAAGTCATTTTATTCAGTTTATTTACATTAATTACACACATGATTATATAGGACCCCTTCAAATCACCATGATTTACATTATTCAACATCAACTGCATTCTTTCAGAGGGTGCAAATTGACCTGATAACATCATATTGTATTATATTTTGCTTCAGCCAGTTTGCATGTTCTTTGTGGAAAATTATGGTTGCAGAGGGAGTTCAGAACCTGGGGTTCGGAAAGTCCTTATTCCGACCGTTCTGTTTTGACAGTTCCAGCACAAATTCAAATATCAAGTAATTTTGAAACTAGACAAGCATTGGCCTAAAATATTAGGGAATTTGGATTTATTAAAAAGTGTAAGGGAGATTTTGTATCAGATCTGAAAAAGTAATCAAAAAATTTAGAAAAAGCCTTATCATGAAGTTCTTGAAAAGATGATATATGTACTTTACAGAGGCCATGTGAAACAAAGTGATCTAGAGATAAATACATTTGTATAAAAAGTCAGGAAATGTCATTCTGAAAAGTTTGCAGGAGCCTGATTATGTGAATTATATAAATGCTTCACACTGAAGTTCGCAGATATTTCAGATCTACACGTCAGAACAGACTCTTAAATAAATGCTCGACCATATTTACAAACAACTAGAACATGTATTTGCAGTACCGAAAGGTAGCAGGGTTGGAAAGGTATCATAAATGGGCAGGTGGCTGTCAATAGATGGCGATATTGTCATTGTGCAACTATTTTCCATTCATCAAATTCAATAATTTCATAAAGTGACTCCATCATTCTACAAAATACAACCTTATCTTAATATTCCATCATGCACAAACATATGAAATAGAATTTGTTTGTTTGATATCATGATGATGTGCAAATGTACATGATTTCAGTTTTAATCAGAGTAATATACACATGTACAAAATAACTGAAAAGTAATATAGCCCAATCAAGTCCATTGCATACAAGTTGTACTCAAATATTACAATAACATTCTTAAAACAATGAACATTTTAGGAATATATATGTAATTCATAAATTAAATGAATCTCTACTTAATATCTTACGTCTTTGGCAACACAATAATTTAAAAACGCTGAAATTATTTGTGTGAGTTTCTGGTTTTGAACCCTCCATTTATGTTCCCTCATGGGATAATACAGGTGAGTCATTGGTCAATACAGGTGAGTCATTGGTCAATACAGGTGAATCATTGGTCAATACAGGTGAGTCATTGGTCAATACAGGTGAGTCATTGGTCAATTCAGGTGAGTCATTGGTCAATTCAGGTGAGTCATTGGTCAATTCAGGTGAGTCATTGGTCAATACAGGTGAGTCATTGGTCAATACAGGTGAATCATTGGTCAATACAGGTGAGTCATTGGTCAATACAGATGAGTCATTGGTCAATACAGGTGAGTCATTGGTCAATACAGGTGAGTCATTGGTCAATACAGGTGAGTCATTGGTCAATACAGGTGAGTCATTGGTCAATTCAGGTGAGTCATTGGTCAATACAGGTGAGTCATTAGTCAATACAGGTGGGTCATTGGTCAATTCAGGCTAGTCAAGATTCTTATCAGCCCTGGACCAGATTGAAGTTTGACAATCAATCATTGCAAAAGTTAACCACAAATTAACTGTTGCAGGAGATTCATTAGAAGCTGGCGTAACAGGCATTTTTGTCCAGTTGTTTTTACCATTAGGAAACACCATGACCTACTAGGGAACCATTAAGAGCTTCTAGGGAACCATTAAGGGCTTCTAGGAAACCACAAATGGCTTCTAGGGAACCACAAATGGCTTCTAGGGAACCATTAAGAGCTTCTAGGGAACCACTATGACTGGCCTGTTATTTTGATAAACTTTGATAAAAAGTGAAAAAATTAAAATCATACAATAATTTTGCATGTTACCAGAAATTCAACTCAAACCCTAGTGTCAGACTGATTTTTACTACAACTAAACGAAATGGCCCATTCTGGATATGTAATATTTGTAGTAACCCATGCTATGTGTCATCAAACCCATCTCAGTTCTCAACTCTAAATTGACTTATTTAGTAATGAGAATTAACAACCCAATATTTACAGATATTTACATTCTATGGGACATGTCCAAGAGGAGGGAAAACCCCATGATTCAATTGATGACATACTATTTCCTCCTTCGCGCACCTCCTTTTGTCGAAAACGTACCCTCCATCTTGGTTTTCAAAGTTTTCAAATTGACCTAGTTTTAAACCAATCAACGATCGACTCGCTAAACCAATCAGCGACGATGTCATCTCAATACAGATTTACATTATAAGCGTATGTAATCTTTGAACCCTGGCGTTTCTCCCCCTCTTGGACATGTCCATATGCATTTCTAAAAATTTGAGTTAATGTCTTGTTTCTTGCTCCTATTTTCTTTCTTCAGTTTTGTGGTTTTAACAGTAATTGAATATGAGGAACCCAGTCAGATGACACAATAACATTACATAAAACCTACATTTTGAATTGTTGAAAAATTATGGACTCAACAGTTTCTAAATCTAGTATAACTAATCATTCAAACAAATATAATGAATCATTATTCAAACAAGTATAATGAATCATTATTCAAACAAATATAATGAATCATTATTCAAACAAGTATAATGAATCATTATTCAAACAAGTATAATGATGAATCATTATTCAAACAAGTATAATGATGAATCATTATTCAAACAAGTATAATGATTATTCAAACAAGTACCACCTGCCATTTTTTACAAATGCCATTTTACAGACACCAATGGGCAAACACTGTCCACAAACAAGTTGGAGACTATAACAATATGTCACCACTTCACTTATAGTGGTGACATAATAACGAATAATGAATCAAACAAGTACATGTATAATGAATCATAATTCAAACATTTATAATGAGTAACTATTCAATTAAAACAAACATTCAGTTCGCTATAATAATAAATAAGGTTTATTAATACCATCCTCCGATCACAGGGCTTCAAAATCCAGAATATATTCTTTCTTTTTACCCCATGCGATAAGCAGTTAGCATTTCCCCGATTAAGAACTCGCAATCTGATTGGCTGTCGCAACACTGCGGCAGAAATCATGTATAAGTCATTGTGCATAATTAGATCACGTGATTTAGTTTAATCGGGCGCTTCCAAATTGGTTAAAGCAGGGGGAAGAAGGAGGTACGGATTCTGGATACCTGCTTAGGAGGATGATTAATACAAACAAAGAGAGTCACACGCTTATCTCAAGATAGAATCAGATACTGAGATCCTTTTCAAAAAGTACAAAAAATTCCTCCTAAAAGTTAAACAAAAAATAAACAAACCGTTCTAGGATAAACAATGATATTTTCATATAAATCTAATATTCTAGATAATGTCAACTGAAACCGTTGCAAAATCGTATGTACAAACAACCTGTCTATTATTTACACTCTAATCTGTTGTAAGATATCCCTTGTTTAAAATCCCATTATGGCCATAAGTACAGCTAAACATGACTATATAAACATAACTGAGATTGGCCAATAGTGTTTGGATTAGCCAATGTTCACATTTTAAAGCTTCTGAATATGAACTCAATGGGAGGTCTGACCAAGGTTTTTTTCTTCTTTATTCATGTTAATTCATTCAAATATACAAAACATAGATTGCCAAAGTTAAAAACATTGGTGGCAGTTTGACTAAAAGGTGTTCACATTGAGAGGTGTTCACATTCACATTGAGAGGTGTTCACATTGAGAGATGTTCACATTGAGAGATGTTCACATTGAGAGGTGTTTTGATTAGGAAGGTGTTCGGATATAAAGGATTTTGTTTTGAGGCCTGTCATCCAATCAAGTTCATAAACCCATTGTAGCCTTTCATCCAAATGGCACATTCAATTGACCATTGATTTTATTTTGCATGTAAAACATGTCCATTTTGGAATTTTATCCAAGGAATTTACAACATGAATTTTAATGAAAAACTGTACAAGATTATATTTTCAAGTCGTGGATACAGTTTCCGTGGCAACCACTGAACTGACAACAATATCAGCGTCAATAGGGACATCGTATCTCATATACTGATGGGGTTCAGTGTGTTCCCGTGTTTCCATGGCACCACTTAAACTCCTTCCAGTAGCGTCATATTTCATGAATTTATTTGGTCCGGAGGTTTCTCCCGTGTATTTCATAAACCTGTCCATACCCGTAGACTCTCCTTTGTATCTAAGGACGTATCGATGTTGCTCCTGGAGACCCTGTTCCCCACAGTCAATTTCTATGATGTTTTTTGGGACGTGCTGGAACTGGTACGCTAATCTTTGGCCCGGGACCCGCTTCAATATGCCCATTGTGTAATAGTACCTGAAACATTAAAAATTTTAGGTTGGTTTTTAAATTGGTCATTTTTGCAGGGTTTTGAATTGACAGTCTATAGTAAGAATATGAATGACTCAGACCCAGTGAATTAACCTCTTGAATCCAAGGCTATAAAAACAGTTTGAAACCAAAAAATATTTCATTTTTTCCAAATTTTGACATTTTACTACTATGAACATAATGAAATTAGTTTAGTGAAATTAGTCAGCAGAGATCATTTCTACACATTTCAAAACTTTTTTCGTTAATATTGGATGAAAATTGTTCAAATTAGAGCAATTTTAATGAAAAATGTTGTGACAGATCGTCTCGTCACTCTATGTCTCAGAGTCATAGTTGATTATATATTGTGAAGAACCGAAGTTCAATACTGGGGCATGTTTCAATTATTGACGTTCATGGTTCTTACAAATACTGGAATAGTATGTGGGACAAACTTACTCATGTTATATACCAAGATCTCCATAATGACACCTTCTAAAATCCTAAAGTATATATTTTCAAAATAATTTTTATTTGAACACAATTTTAGAGTGTTCTTCTTCGTTAAAATGTTAAAAACATGATGTCACACGTAACATTTTATGTGTGCATTTATTTCAAAACAATGTGGAAGCATTACTTTCTATTCAATTTTGATGATTAAGGTAAGAATCAATTCCTTAGACAAGCGTCTTTGTCATTATGCCATTAATAATTAGGTAACAATGTAATAATGCGCTGCTTTCTCAAAGTCACACTGTTTTTTTTGCCATCCCATAGAAAAGTAAAATGCCATTTATTTCAGAATACATTGCTTTTAAAGACTGAAATTAAAATTAGAGATAGGCCTTAGCTGAAATTAATAAATGTGAAGAAAAAATATCTAAATTTTTTTAAAAAAGATATTGATTGATATATAGGGTGTGTAAATTTGAAACATTTTCATTCATGATTACTTGTCAAACGGTGCAAATGACAAAGTGTTAATTTTGTCCAATGTAACTTTTTTGACGTCTTTCCATTTGATTTTTAAGTTGTGGAGCTATTTAGAATTTTAGAGAAAAGCTCGCAATTGTTTATCTCACAACATTACAAAGTATGCCCCAGTATTGAACTTCAGTTCGAAGCAAAATCTTGTACATTAAATTCAATGATTTAGCATTTTACTGTTTACTTAACAACAAAAATATTACCTCAGGGCCCGTGACAGATTTTCATAGTTCATGTGTGGGTTGTTTTTCTGTGCACCCCATAACTTAGACACAAACTTTGAGTTGACAATTTTGAAGATTCCTTTTTTACGATCCATCCACTTTATATGTTGCGGGCAGAACGTCTCATCTTGAAGCAAATTTAGTAAGAACTCCCATAGCTGCTTGGCTTTATCTGAAGATACATGGAAAAACAAATATAATCAAAATATCATTCACATGTCATTTAAATTTATCGTCACTCAGTATTTACTATTACTTAACCATTTACTGGTCAAAGCAAAAGTATGCCTTTTGAATCGAGTTGATATTTCTTTTTATAAGTGTTATTCTACTTAATTTGTCGACCATTTTAATGTGGCAATTTGCCAAAATTCACCAATTCATGCCAATTTTTCATAAAAATCCCCACAAGTATTTTAGTCCAGTGCATCTGCGTTTATTATGAGGTACTGTATAATTATGAGTCTTCGTTTGAGACTGTCAAAATATGATCCTTGACTTCACATTGCCTTAGCAAAATGCTCACTCCTGTCAAATTTGCCAATTTCACATGTATCGCCAATTTCACAGATATTGCCAGTTTTTCCAATTTTGCTAAATTTGCCAAATTAAATAGCATCGGATTTAGTAGAGTAAGAGAGCCTCTGGTTTACAGGCACATTTTGAATATTTGGTATTAAACAGAGATAAGCTGGCAGAAAATTTGCCATGAGAATAATTATTTGTTTTAGCCTCATTAGACTATGGAAGCAATCATAAAAACAAACTACTTAGTTTATTTATGACTATTTTTAACATTTACTATGTCACATCAAGGCAAGTGTGACACGGTTGTTACAAATTCTTACTTTTGGTCTTCATCTTTTTGATCAGTTTTTTCTCCTTCTTTATGGATGGCATCTTGGGTACATGTGGTCCTTTGGCATTAGGTCCATGAGGGAACGCTTAAAGTAAAAAAATTCAAGAGAATTAGTTCATATGTCTTGGGCATGTCTAAATCTTGGGCATGTATAAATGTTCAAAAAAGTCGTAACTTTGTTTTGACTATGAGATGTCCAGCTGATCCCATTTAGGCAGTTGGAGCCACAAATTTATCTTTCTGACAACAACTGTAGTACCACTCTCATCCTTAATACCATTGTTTAAACATCACATTGTTTAAGTCCTTTCACATTGCAATATCTTACATTGCCAGTTTTTGTGAGTAAAGCTCTTTTGTCTTATTTACAATGAGCAAAACTCCCTAGTATACTTACTTCTTAGAGGATTTTCTGCGTAAGGGTGCATAAATGAGATCACATTTTGCAGCTTGCATCCACAGTCATAACCAGACCCACAACAAGATTTTTTCCTTGGGTTATTTAGTATACTTTCAGATATGTCCTTCTCTAGAATTTCCTGTAGCTGTTCAGTCGTGTAACATGTCACTTTGATATCATCTTCCTGGTAGCCTAATGTCCTTGTGTCACTGTCCTCATCAGATCCCCTAATGTGCTCGCTATCCTGAAACAGTTCCTCTACATCATCGTCATTTTGGTGAGGATCATAACACATTACACATTTACAACCCGGTTTGTTCTTATGTATGTGCAATTTTGGTTTGGTAACCAACTGCGCATTTATCAAAACACTGTCATCTTGTTCTTCATTTGAATCAGTAGAACTGTCTGTGTCTGATGAGTCAGAGGTATCATCTTGCAATGACTTCTGCAGTTCTTTATTTCCATCTTTCAGTTCTTTGATGATTTCATTTGCATAACGTATAGAGCTGGGTTTGATTTTCCTTGGTGGATTCAGTCTATTTTTCCTTTTTCGAAATCTGAATTTTTTGGCTGAATAATCGATTTCTTTTTTCTTTTCAGGAAGAGATTTTGTTGCTGATCTTGTTTTATATCCCTTTTCATTGTGTTCCTTTTCGTTTATTTCCTCGATTGTCGCATTTTTGTCCTCTGTGTCGGACAACTTTTGCTTTTTTCCTTCCACTTCCGGGTTCATTTTTGGTGAGAGTTTTTCAAGCTCAAAATTGATTCAGAGTCCTACATCTTTATGTAAAATGAATCTATACATATTCAAGTTTATACTTAACAATATGTTTTAGTTTTACCAGCCATCTCCTGTGTAAAATCATACAAAATAAAAATTGTTTTATATCGACTTGCGAACACGGAAGTGACGCTCATGACAAACCACAAATCGAATTTACGTCTACACTAGGCGAAAAGGGTTTCCAATTTTTTCGTTCGAGAACTGAAAAATTCCCGGGTTTACTTCAATCGGATTTTTTAATCACACTGGTAATGAGTCAACCTAAGGTCCAAGGATATGTTATAAAATGTTTGAAAATTGCTCAAGTGTACTGAATTGGTATTGTGCAATCATAGGCCCAGGTTAAGTACTGTAGAAATCCAGGTTACCTCAGTTTTCCGAAGGCCACCAGTGTCATATCGGGGAAGAATTGGCTCGAGACAGTCGAGTATCCATGGGTTTAATATGTATGGATTACTACAGTACTTAACCTGGGCCTATGTGTGCAATCGTGGACTTCTAATCTACTGCATCCCCGGGCCCCATGATACCGTTTACGAAGTATGTTAGTCCACGGTATTTATTAAAAGAACGTGTCACGTCGGATTGGCATCAGCGTCGGATCTGAAAACTAGCCTAATAGGTATGGCCAACACAATTAAGGCCCCAAAACCACAGTAATGCCTAAAAAGGCCCACTAATCGGGCCTCTAAAATATTTTTGGGTCTAAAATGGGTCCAATTTCTTCGGGGTCCATTAGGGCGGACTGGTCCCCGCAAGGCCCTAATCCCCCAATGAACACATACTTCACTGGGACTCAACGTACAAAAACAATACATGCCCTTCGACTCCTTCTACCAACTGAAGATGGCCTGCATTCCGGTATTTTTTTTATTTATTTATCATCCACCATAAATTCTAGCTTTATTAACGTCCTATAAAACTTTTTTACATTTAAAACACATTGCAATTACAGTTATATATACTGTACCTAAATAACTGTTAAATCGGCACTAAAATGGCCGCCATTTTGAAACGAGCGGCCATTTTGAAAATCGGCTTTCGAGCAGAACTTCTACCCCCATAGTGCACATGTGTATGAAATATGAACAAAATCGGGTCAACAGTATTTGAGTTATTGCCATTGCACAGAATTGGTCGAATAGCCGATAGATGTCATTCATTGATTAAACATGACGTCATATTTGAGATCTTAAGATAAATCTGACGTCATGACGTCAGTGCCATAGAAACTGAGATTGTCTTGTTTTATTTTGACGTCATTCGAATGTAATGAACCAGTTATATCACCAAAAGTTAACATATTTTGTTTGAAATGCGCCGAAAAGTTAAAGGTATGAGGATTCTAATCTCAACGGAATCAAACAGATCTACCTTCAAAGTTACAGAAACCTGAGATGACTAAGATACCATATGATTTTAAGTACCTCTACCAGATCGTTGAATATCCTCATTTCACCATTTTGACGCCATTTCTAATGGATTTCAATGGAGTCATGCATGAATTCCTCATGATTTTTTCAAAACAAATTGGCCGAAAAGTGTGCATGTGTACATTGCTTAAAACATGTTAAATCAGTAAAGGTTGATGTCTAGTTATAGAAACCTGAGATGACTAAGGTGGCAAATCAATATCATTCGCACAGTAAGCGTTCGAAAAATGTCTCCATTATAAATCCCATAGGCTTTGGAAAACCGGAAGTAATGGGTCTGCGCATGCGCAGTGAAATATTGGACAAATTTTGTGCAATGGCCCGGACAGACGGACGGAAGGACGGACGGAGGCGTTCCCTATATCCCTCCAAACTTCATTTGATGGGATAACAAATGGGTGCTATCTTGTGAAGAGCAAGAAAAAACGAACCTCTTGCGGATGAAATCTAAATTAAGAGTTAACATACATTTAAGCATTTAAGGGCAAATCCCAACATATCTTTAAGGAACGTATGTGGAAGCCCAAGTATACTTGGCTACCCAACTATTCTGACTCTTGCCGAAGTGTTCTTACCTGACCCAAGTATTCCGAGTTTGCTAATTTTTTCAAATACACTCGATAGATGTCTTGTTTTTTATTGTGGTTTGTAACTTTGTACAATCAGCCTCCTCGGTCTTGCTTTGCAGCATAGGTTTCTCATATTACACATGACCTTAGATCTTGTGTCTCATGTTTCCAGTTGCAAAAAATCTTGATCTATTAAACAGACATAAACATGTTTTCAACTATGTTTTAGAAGTGTTAATGTACTAGTATAGATTATAGTATTAAGCTTACTTCTAATCTCGGCATGTTTGTGTTTATAGACTAATAAGAGACTTCTAACATAGATACAGATGAATTCATTGGGTGTTTGGGAAAATAAACTACATAAAGAGCGCTGAGCAGGCTGATATAGTGACCAAGATTTAAATATTGAAAATTCATGTAGCTACATTTACTGAAATTCAAACATATTTTATCTGATAAATTCAACGCTAATTGAATATTTTTTTGTCGACTCTGACCTTCTCAGGATTGATGTTTTTGTCAAGCTCAGCCGAGTTCTCCTAGAAAGTTTACGAATTACATATGTATTTGCTAAATGCCAGCGAATAGGTGCACGTTATGGTCAAAGATTTAATTGATACGCATCAAGGAGTGGGAGTCTACAAGTGGTGACATATTGTTATAGTCTCTAACTTTTTGTGGCAGCATTCTGTGGTTGGCGTTCGGCGCCTGTAACAAATGCCAGGGACGACATTTTGCATGTTAATGCCTTGTTAAAATATGTTGCTGTCACTGTCACTAGCAAAGATGTCATAAAATCGTAACGAGGAAATCATTTTATTACTATTGGATTTTTGTTTTCAGGAATACACTCATGTTTATTTACACGAATAAAGGATCTAGTGCGCCCTCCATTATGATCTCCCCATGAACAAAAATAAATTCATCTGAATTTTCGAAATGAATATACTGCTTTTATTATTACATTTATATGTACACTAGTATCCTGTTGACCTATATTCAGCACTGTATTGATGAATGGGCCACTTATTAGGGCCAATATTCAATCATAAAGTGTACAGGGGTAGAGATGCAAAATCAGGAAGTATTTTTGTGTCTGTCAAAATCCATTTGCATCCTACACATCCCTACATCTTATCCAAATATGTTATGAATTAATGAAACATAACAGTATAATCTTTGGATTTACAAAGTTATATGGCATTTCATAAGTGTAAAAGTTGCTTTTGAAGCATTTTTCTATAGCCATTTTGTAAGAAAAAATGATGAAAAAATGTATAATCTTTTCATTTGAAGTATCACCTGAATCGATTGCAAACTTTATATTTGCACATCTGATGTGATATACCAGTTGTGTCATATTGTGAAATTATTTAATTTGCAATTGATTCAGGTCATAGTGTATTTTAAGTATTTTTGTGAAAATCAATAGAAACCAATGACCTTCATTGGAATCTGATGATATCAACATTTCGATGAAACACATACACCCTTGCTGAACTCAATGACCTCAACCTCAGCCCATGTGGGTCCAAATGCTTAGATATTTTCCAAAGTATTATGTAACATTGTGTTCTTCATGTTACACCTAAAATGATTCATTTTGTTCATGGGGAAATCATAATGGAAAGTGCACTAGATCCTTTGGTCCAAATTTACATAAAAAGTAAAAAGCGCACAGAAGATATACAGTGGCTGTAAAAAATACTTACGTTCCAGGGGCGGATCTGAAAATCAAGAGTAGGGGGTCCTAAATCTGAAAATTTGAGCCCGGTTTATAAAAACAGGCTCAAAATTAAAATAAATCATGCTCAGTAATGCCGAGTTGTTACCTTAATTGCTCAATTTATGTGGAGAGGGAAGATTTTTTGCCCTATACGTTTTTTTGGCCCTCACTTTTTGGGGCCCTCCAAAGGGGGAGGGTCGGGCCCCTGTCCTCCGCCAGATCGACCGTTGCGTTTTACCTTATGTATGATACAACACGCATATTCAATAATAGGGTCCTCCGCCCTTGTTATTTTTCTTAAATCAATGATAGTATGTTTTACATACCGAGCGGAGGTAGTCATTTATATCATTTATAAAAACATGAGTGGTTTCCAAATTAATTTCAGGAGCCATCTTTTGAATATACGTGGAATCCATTGACAAATGATTAAAAAACTAACGCAGACATCTATTGAGTGTATTCGAAAAAAAAAGTAAACCCAGAATACTTGGGTCAGGTCAGTATACTTCGGCAAGAATCAGAATAGATGGGTAGCCAAGAATACTTGGGCCTTCACAAACGTATTTTTTAAAACGAGATATTTGAGGAAGAAATCCGCATTCCTAATTCATTGAGACTTCAGAGTTCAATATTAAATCATTTGCTGAAAATTTAGACAAAGCATTTTGTAACCGCTAAGCCATTACACCCTTGGAGCACCACAAACATGCTACTAGTCGTGCGAGCCTCACTTGGTTGTATGCTTTGAACTATGTAACACCTATGTACGTCAATTCAATGAATTCGTATACTTCTGTAAAAATGGCACATAATGTCAGGTTGACCGAGCTATAAATAAAAAAAATAAAAAAAGATCAATATGTCAAATTCTGAAACATGCGATTCCCACACTTCAAAACTGAGGTAAGATGATGATTTGAAAAGATTCCAAATCAAAAGAAATTTATTTGGTATTTCATTTTATAATAAAGGAGTGTTCATAATGACCTCATGCACCTATAGTTAGTTACTGAATAGTGGATGTTTAATAGCAAATAAATTTCGAAGAGTATATTTATTTAATCATGGCGCACATATAAACGTCTTTTTTACTACACGAATACTCTCAGTTGGTACTCAAGATATCCATTTCGCTCCGTAGACTCTTAAAGTAAACCTTTTTTAAATTGCAATGCCTTGCAACAAAGATTGCATAGTGCTCAAAATTTTTCTTTCTTTGAATTGAAAATAAAAAGTAATCTGTACTTAAGGGCAGCATCAGATCTATGGGGGTGACACATTTCGAAGTAACATGAACAATTCACCTACCAATCTATTCCTTATTGTTACGCGGTATATGGCATACATTCATGGTTGCGCGGTATTTGTGATACGGGTGAATATGCCATACTCACCTGCGGTATATGGCATATTCCGCAGGTGAATATGCGATATTCCGCAGTGAATATGCGATACATTGATTTCAGTGAATACCCGATACTCACCTGCGGAATATGTCATA